GGTAAAATTCGAATTTTACCGAGTATTCAACAAATCAGAAAAATGCTTCACAAATCCCAAACATGGTTCTAAATATTCTGCTGTTAGATCAGAATAATCTAGTCCAGACTTGAAGTGTCTAGCTGTAGTAGTTTTTTTTTATTAGAGCAGATCTATGGTGACCCAAATGAAAAAAAAAGGTAAAATTCGAATTTTACCGAGTATTCAACAAATCAGAAAAATGTTTCACAAATCCCAAACATGGTTTTAAATATCCAGCTTGAAGGGGAGAATAATCTAGTCCAGGTTTGAAGAGTCTAGGAGTTGTAGTTTTTTTATTAGAGCAGTTGTAGTAATGAAAGAGGTGCCAAAAATGGTGAAAATCGAACCTCATTGAGTTTTCACAAATCAGAAAAAAATTTCACAAATCCCAAACATGGTTTTAAATATTCTGCTATTAGAGAAGAATAATCTAGTCCAGGTTTGAAGTGTCTAGGTGTAGTAGTTTTTAAACTAGAGTTGATTAAAGATGCGGACAGTAGTGAAAAATTAAGTGGAATCGCCCTTTAGCTATTGGAAGCTAGAATTGGAAACTAACTTCAGCTTCGTCCCGATTTCAAGGTTGTCTACAGATGCTAACTGGAGCGGAAAAGCCATTTGGCCGAACCAGATGCTAACCTTAGCCTCGACAAAAACAAAACACCACTTTATCACTGCTAGCTTCATAACAACCAATAACAGCAAGATAAAAGCGCTCTAAACCAAACCCGCTAAACAGTCAAAAGTTAAACAACTGACAACCAAAGCATATTTTAGACGTAAGATATGCTAGCAGGAATGCTAACGGTCGGCCATCCGCTAGATTAACTTCGACATTTTAATCTATAAACAGTAAACCTTTCCATGTTAAAAATTTCACGTAAAACTTACCCGATTTTACGAAGACTGCGATCTTGTTATATTTTTCATTCTGCAAATAAAAAGGTTTTTCTTTGGTTGATCCTTTTAGTTTGCTACAGGTTTAGTAAGAATCAAGATGGCGACCGGAAGTGACATAAACTTCCTCTACATGTATTTTTTTCTTTCTTGCCAAAGACGTTTTTTTATCCATACTTTTAATTTATAAGCATATATAAATAATACATTTTGTTTCTATATACTTATTTAGTTCAGTTTTATTTAATTAAATGTATTATGATTTACTTATTTACAGAAAGATAATTATTTTTCAGGTTCTTGGACTTTCACTTAGTAACAGTGACTTAATATTATAAAATGTTTACTTCACCCCTCCATTTTTAATTTTTTTTATTAATTTCTTGCAAGAAATTGAAATGATCAAAAATGCACAGATCACAATCCATATATTTCTGGTATTTTCTTCATGAAAACAAAACATCTCAATAATGACAGTAGGAAAATGTCTGCTAAAAAATTTAATTCTGAATTACAGTATAATTTACAATGGTTACAGGAACAGCTGCATTAATATGCACAGGCACACCGGAAACAAATATTACAATTATAAATTAGATATATTAAAGCATAAGCATACTATGTCATATATATATTTATGTCATATAAAGTATTGTTCTGATTATGCCACTGATTAGTGTCACCATTCAGCAGCCCTCAGGCTTTTGTGATTTCTGTAATCAGAAAACTACTGCTACAAAACCTTTACTGATTGTTCTGCTGTTAAACATTACAGAACAGTTTTTATTCATTTTCATCATGAATCAAACTTTGATAGTACTGAAAACCGTCAAATCAAGGTAAACTATAATTTTTCTTTCAAAGAGGAACATGAATGTAAAACTTCTACAAAAGCATCCACAGTGGATTGTTTCTGCAGCTCTTAAGGCACAAAATTGTTCTGAAGTTCAGTCTGGGCAAAACAGATGTAATGTTTGGGTGAATTGAAAAAAAAAAATCAACCTAATTGCTCCAATATGTAATTTCAATTAGTGACCAAAGATCACTCTATACTAATAAAGATGTTTACTAAGACATAACCTCTCCCAGAGTGGGTCAGTCATGAACTTTTTCAGATTTATGACTCCACACAGGTTTGCGTTTCTCTAAGAAGGCCTGGATTCCTTCCTGTCCATCTATAAGAGCCAGGTTGTCCACCATCACCTTGGAGGCAGTGGCATATGCTGCGTCTCGGCCTTGAGCCATTTGTCTGCAAAAGAACCAGAAACACAAGAAGTTAATGCAATCTAATGTGTCAGGTATTCACTGCAAACCATTAATAACAGCATACCTGTGGAATGTGGCCTTGCCGAGAGCTACAACAGGTCGACTGGACTGACACACTCGCTGGGCGATGGCTAATGTCTCCTCCTCCAACCGCTCCTCTGGCACCACCTTGCTAATCAGGCCATGCAACAGGGCATCACGGGCTGAGATAGGAGACCCTGTCAGCAGCATCTCCATGGCAACCTGTTCACGAAAACAAAGTGATAAGAGTTCAATCGAGGACTTTAATGGTGTGGGTGATTTCCTGTGGATCAACTAAACAGCAGAAAAAAAGGTTCTCAAGGATCTCACCATACCTCCAAGTAAATATTTTAAGTAGCACAAATACTACTTTGATTCTTGAGTTATAAATGTGCAACATTCATTGTGAATAAACAGCCACCAGGTGGCGCATGTATCAGGTGAAAAAATTTGTCATCAATTACACAAGGAAAAATGTTGTCAGGTTCAGTAAGAACTTCTGGGTTAAATCCTACCCCTGCTGAATATCTCAAAAGTGAAACAAAACCACTTTATGTCAGCAGAATCCCTTCAGTTCGTACCGTAATAAAAGTTTTGAAAAGTATCCGTCTGTACCTTTCTTGGCACCGCTCTGCCGATGGCCACCGCCGGCGTCGAGCAGAACAGACCCACATTGACGCCCGGAGTGGCAAAGGTGGATTTCTCACTTGCAATTGCGATGTCACAGCTGGCGACCAGCTGGCAACCGGCTGCCGTGGCAACGCCGTTCACCATGGCGATCACTGGAATAGGGAGGTCTTGTATCAGAGTCATCACCTGAAACACAAAAGTTACTAACAGCTGAGGTTATGAACATGTGAGGCCTTGTTTTCATACCTGCACTAAACTCCAATCCAACAGGTATTTTATGTCAGAAATGTTTAAAATGAGATAAATATTGACAAGTTCAGTGCTTGCTTCTCTGATGTAAGGATTTATTTCCCAATTGGAACATGTTTTGACTCTTCAGCTGGAGTTTCAGTCCCATTCCAGACACAAACTGACCTCTGAGCAGGTTTGAAACACCTTGGTGTGGTATTCTCGGCCCTGAGTGGACGTCAGCTCCTTCAGGTCGTGTCCCGACGAGAACACCGGACCTTTGGCTGAAACAAACAGCGCAAACGTAAGACCAACTGCTTCCTGTCTCTAACATGAACGAGCAATTAAAAACAGACCTGATAAGATGATGACTCTGAGATCTTCGCCATCAACGTCAGCCAGGATGTTCTCTCGGAGAGTTTCCAGCATGGACAAGGACAGAGCGTTCCTCTTCTTAGGGTTGTTTAAAATGATCCTCCTGGTAGAAATGTAGATTTTTAACACATTAGAAAATATTTTAAAGAACGTTTGCCACAGTAATATTCTCTTAAACTGACACTTTTTTATTGTTCACATACCACCATATGCGTACAGTACATTTAGTCAACTCTAATTTATTTCATTTTATAAATTATTGACAATTGTTTCTGGACATTGTTACCTTTATGTTCAATATTTGAAATGTTTCTTCATAAGGTTTTTAATTTATTACTGTATTCTAGTCTTACAGTTAACATTGTTTTTTATTACTATCCAATTACAATTAAATTGGTGACAGTTTGTGTTATGTTTAGTTTGTTAATATCCAGAATATTTTACAGTTACAAATAAGCCTTGAAAAATAATAAACAGTCAGCTCTCTGCCTCTCTTTTTTATCGACTGTCGGCAGCAGCTGTTGGATCAACGATCAGTTACTCTACCCAACTGGGTTCAGAGTCATGTTTGCTCAACTGACTGAAGTCGGTTGGTTCTCCTCTCACACAACTGATGCAGACTTTCCCAGGCTGGGAATCGGGGTAAAATCGGGCCAAACTTGTCTTGTCCAAGACCAAGTCCAATCCAGATTGGACTTTACTGAGATAAATATGCATTCCGATGTATTTCTGTATAATTGGGTCCATTTTCCTTGTAGAAACTAAACAAAGTGAATTTAATTTAAATGTATTTAATCGGGAATGAGGTACAGAGGCCTGCAGGAAGACGACACCAGATTCAGGGCCAATTTCTTTCAGAGGTTGTCATGGTGATAAACTGCTCTGCAGCCACTTCAGCGTAATATCATTCTATTTTTATTGTTTATGTCTACTCAGTACAAAATATCCTTATGTGTTGAAATATTTCAACATGTTTTTAGTTTTAAATACAAATTAAAATTTTAGATTGCTATATTAAGATTGTCTGAATCCAAGACATTTATATAGATGCAACCCTGACAAAACTAAAACGGGAATTTGGTATTCCCCTTTTTGTAGTTTTGTATAAACTCCGAAAAAAAATGTAATTTATGTAAACTACATTTCTGGGGATATTCAGGTTGTTCTATTGCATAATAAATTTCGGACCTGGAAATTTATGTCCACTTCTATTGAAGTAAAAGTAAGCTCTTTACACCAATAATAAAGCGAAATGTCTTGATTTACCACAACAAGGCGATAATGACCGCGGTAATATTTCAGCCGAATTTCCACTGAGACCGATTAAGATGTTCTGGTTCAGTTTGTGGACCACAGAAAGCAGCTCTCTTTACTGAATCCTCAGTTTCTCCTTAAATGCTCTGTTTCTACATGAGGGTTGGGGTTGGTGAAGCGACGTGTTTTTAATGGCAGCACCTGATTCCGTGCTTCTGTTCCCTCAGAGTCAGCGGTTCCGCTTCCGACTGGGAGTAACACCGGGGAGCGGACAGCAGTGGTATCCTCCTGCTGAGCTGAAACGCAGAAACACCTCTACACAACACACTGCGAGCCATTTTTTCAACCTTCTTCCACTACTTCCGGCTTATGACGTCACGTGGTCAAACAGACCCGGTCTGCGCATGTGCAGAAATCAGACCTAAAAATCAAAAACAGGATCCACGGAACAAACAGAACATTTCATCTTTCTGCTAAAATATTTATTGTAGTCATAAATTAATCAGATGATCTTTCAGTTGTGCTTGATTTTATTTCATATTTAAAACGATAAAAACATAAAATTACTTGCAAACATCAACAGTGACATTTTGTTTAGACTTTTCCTTGTCCTAACTGATTAAAAGAATAGTAGAACCCTCACATTCCTTCAAACCGTTAAATTTTATTTCACAGATAATTACAAATTATAACACAGTTATGTTACAATTAGTTTGTTTTGCTGTCTTAATTTTTACAGCTGGCCAAAGTCAGAATCACAGTTTTTTACACTGATCAATTAGAAACACCTTCATAAAATAATTATAAATAAAAGGAGTAAAACCTGTTATAATTCCTGGACATTCCTTCATTGTAAACGTCATAATTTACAATAAATTAAACTAAGATTGTATGAAGTAACAACTGATATTATTTGTAAAGTGCTGAACACAGGCAGTCATCCATCCATTGCGTACATTCACCTGTCCTTGCTCAGGATGTGTGTCACCTAAAGAACAAGAAACGGTTGCAGAAAGTGCAGGAAAGCAGAGTTTCTAAAGATGCTCTTCCACTGCAGCAGTGATTTTCTGCGGTGCGATCTTTATTGGGACCTCGCTCCAGGTGCTGATGTATGGAAACAACCTGTCGGTGAAAGTGTGTGTGAAGGTGTGTATGTGTGCTCCAGTTTCTGCGTCTGAAAACAACAGCCGTCCTCCATCATAGTCCAGGAAAAGCCGGATCCTTCTTGGGTTTCCCTTCACAGAGACGTCAGATCCCAGATCTGTTGGGGAAAGTGTTTTGTATTCTCCTTTGCAGAACATGAGCCTCCACAGTCCGGGCCAGATGACGCCTTTCCTCACATCCGACCCCACTAGCACACCCAGAACGTAGGCATCGTTTTCTCCTACCTCCACCTCCCAGCTGTGACATCCTGAGGTGAAACTCTCAGAGCCAATGACAGAAATAAAGCGGTCGATCCTCTCTGGATTGTCAGGAAGTTCCTGTTTTCCCGTGGCCTGCTTCAGACTGGTCAGATCGTCAGACAGAGTGAGGTCTGGATGGGCCGTGTTTGGATCCAGGACGACAGGACTGAAGGAGATCATGTCCTTCATCTTGCTCCAGACGTTGAAGCTCAGGTTTCCCAGATATCTGGCCTCATCGATCAGCGCTCCAGAGATCAGGTCCGGATCATCAGGAACCGGCTGCTGCTGGATTCTCTCCACCGTTTCTTTGTAATTCAGCAGAAACTGAACATCTTTTGCTCTCAGTTCGTTTTCTGTGGTTTTAATTAATCCTGACAGATCTGAGATCTCTTTGTTCAGCGCTCTGATCTTCTCCGCCATCATGTGACTCTTCTGCTCCTCTTCCTCCCGCAGTGCATTCAGCCTGGCCTCCTCCTCCTCCTCCAGAAACTGGTGAAGCCTCTTAAACTGCTCTTTGATCTTCCTCTCTGTGGCTTCAGCCTGAGTTTTGATGTGACCTGCAGTTTGATCACAGCTTCCCTTCACTTCACGGATGAGCCTCATCCTCTTTCTTAAGGGCTTCAGTGAGTCCTGCAGCGTTTTCTTGGCCTGCTGTCCGGCCTCTTCGGTGAGCTGGAGTTTGTGCTCGCTGTGTGTCTCTGACTCCCTGCAGACGCGGCACAGAAGCTGCTGCTCATCCACACAGAACAAGCTGAGTGTTTCTGCATGCAGACTGCAGAGCAGCTCAAATCCTGACGCTCTCACCTCGTCAGACGCCATCTTTAGAGAAAAGTCAGGTACAGGTATTGTCTTTGATGACCTTCTCTTGCAGACTGGACACTCGGTAGTTTCTCTTTCTGCCCAGTTTGTCTTTAAACAGGAGACACAGAAGCTGTGCTCACATGTCAGAGTTACTGGATTCTCAAAAATGTTCTGGCAAACTGGGCACAGAAGGTCTTCCCTTTGGACTGAAGCCATGACTAGACGTTCCTCTGAACTACGCAGACAGTTTCGCTTTTGAATAAATCTTCTAGTTCTTGTTTTTCTGCCAGCAGCCGATCCATTTTACCACCTGCAGCATTCCTGGTGTTTCTCGAAGCATTTCATCATCCTTCAAGAGAAACTCTTGAATTTGATCTCAAAGTCGAGGTTTTTGTCTTCTGTTGGTTTATTCCAACGTCTCTGTTGAGGAAATCAGCAGGTTTACTTCCTGACTCACCTGAAAGACAGGTCTGACCTGCAGGAAATGCCAGCCCCGCCCCCTGACTCTGACTGGACCAGTAGCAGCTCTGTGAGGAGGTGGAGATCGATCTTTTTACAGATTATCTGTCTCATGTTAAGCTGTCATGACATGGTGACAGTTTTAATCAATAAAACATTTTATTTATCAAGATATTTTTGTTTACTTGATTTGTGCTTCAGGTTATAAATTCAGATTCTATCAACAGTTTAAGTTTGATACGAAAATCGTCTTCATTTTCAGAAACTTCTGCTCAAATTTTGACAAAATGTGACAATAGAAACGATATTCATAACAAGTTGGTGCATTTATTGTCAAACACAAAAATACAGAACATTAGTGATTGGCTTGTTATAATTACTGTTAAAGAATGAGAAAGTACCTTCATGTCTGCACATCCAGAAAGCAGAAACACTTTGAATAAGTCAGAAAATGAGATATGAGATATGAAATGACGCCGTTTGAGCCTAAACTAGCAGTTATTTCTACTTGGATTAGCATTTTGATGAGCATGGTTGTGCAAATTAATATTTTCTGAACATAAAGTGCTGCTTGATGTTATTTACGTGGTTTTGTTCTGAGAAAACATTCGGCAGCACTTTATGAGAAGGAGAATACTGACATAGCAGCATTTAGAAACATGAAGGAGTCTTCATGAACGTCCATGACTGTTCTCATAAAGCATCAGTCGGTAAATAATGAAACTTTTAAAGCAAAGTTCCTCCAAACCCTGCATTAAAAGTGCCATTATTTACCAAATGACACTTCATGACAACAGTTATAAACATTCATCAAGACTCCTTCATGTTCTTACAGATGTTATGTCAGTCTTATACTCACCCCTTCAAACAAAGTGTTACCAAACATCCCATAAAGGTGTGTGTGTGTGTGTGTGTGTGTGTGTGTGCGTGCGTGCGTGCGTGTGTGTGCGTGTGTGTGTGTGTCAGTGCAATCACCTCCTAATGAAGATAATAACAATAATAATAACAACAACAACAGACGCACTGAGACACGAGTCTCGTTGAGGAGGGGAGCAGGAGGAGTCCCGTCAGAGAAACAGTCCTGCTCCTGGCCCAGAGGAACAGTGCGCCCTGCAGGAGAAAGGCCTCATGTCAGGTGACGGCATTCAGGCTCTGGCCGCCCTCCGTAGGGGTGAAGAACTGCACTTTGGACGGAACCAGCCCGGAGTTGTTCCTGCGCAGGCTGCCGCCGCCTTTCCGCATGGAGTTGTTGCGTCTCATGGAGTTTCGCTTCCTGAGGGAGTTCTGGTGCGACAGCTCGCTCTTCTGCAGCGTCTGGATCAGGATGTACGGCTTCTCGTCCAGCTCCCGAGCGCTGCAGCTGGGCGTGCTCACCTTCAAAACAGCAGCCCGCTTTAATTATGCTAATTAATGTAGTAATTATTGAATAGTGACTAAGAACAGTCTTACATATGTTCTTACATATCTGTGCCAGACGTTAAAGTTTGACCTGAAGCACTCACTTTAACCGTATTGCCGAACTTGGAGTAGTCCACGGAGTACACGCCCTCCTCCTCCGTAACGATGGGAACGAAGCGGTGGCCCCACTGGATCTCCTCAGAGACATAGGAGGTCCGGGCCTGGGTGGTGATGCCCGTCGTCTCCACGACTCCCTCCAGGATGACGATCACCTCCAAGTCGCTGCACTGCAACTCCATGGCCGAGAGGTCGTACAGCGGGCTGAGCGGACGAAACATTCACAGAAAACACAAGAGAAAAGAGCAAAAAGTCAGTTTTTTTTATTAAACATGAGAGGAAATCTGCAATACCGTCCTAAATTAGTAATCAATCAGAGGTAAGAGTAAAACGACTTCAAAATTACTCGAGTAAAAAGTATTTGACTAAAAGTCTACTCAAGTACTGAGTAACTGATCAATTTATCAATCATCTAATATTTAAAAATTACATCATTAGATGGACCAAAATATAAAGTCAAGTGGAAATTTTGGTATTTTAAGTGTGAAAATGACATTAATTTATGTAAGTAACAAAAGACACAATCAGGCAAAAATAAATTTTTCCAAATCAGTTTCTTTCAATAAAAAATGAAACTTTAACAGAACCTGCAGGTCTGAGTCTGGTGAATGTTTGGTTAAAACATGTTTGCTTTTCATTCAGAGGATAGAAAATACATACATTTTACTCAAGTAAGAGCAGAAATACTTCAGAATAAAATAAAAAATAAAAGTACAGCATAGTAAAAATACACCTAACAGTAAATTTTTCTCAAAGTTACTCAAGGAAATGTGACTCTGCATTTAATTGATTTCAAAGGCACAAACTGAACAAAACTGAATATTGCAAAAAAGTTCAAATATTTTTGTTTCTCATTTCAGAAAGTGAAACTAAATATTAATTTGATTTATTAGACAATAAAATATTCCAAAGATTAATTTTTGTTCAATTACAGAAAATTAAAACCCAACATTCAGGATTTCTGCAGGTTTCACCAACTCAAATTTAAGATTTTTTAAAGACTATTATTAATGAAATTTAAGACTTGTATTGCCTTAGTTTCCTCAAAAAAACAACAATATTTAAGTCTCGTGATTAATGTATTTAAGGCTAACTTGCTGTTTTTACTTAACTTAAGACATTTCAATAACTTAATTCTAGATAAATAAATTTATTCAATTCAAGGCTGTTAAATTTTACCTGTGTACATATAATTCTTTACGATATTCTGATATTTTGAGAAGAAAAAGTCTCCACAGCTAAACTCAAGTTTAAAGAGGAACTGGAAAATGGAGACGTAAAGTTTTGCGCTGAACCTGTTTTTGTCGATGACGTGGCAGATGATGAGCGGGGCGAGGAGGAACAGGCTGTTGCTGGCGATGGCGCTCTCAGTCTGAACGTCGATCTGGTGGATGGGGATTATCTCGCCCTCTGGAGTCGTCGTCTTCCTCACCACCTGCAGGTCAAACCATTTCAACCAATCCTGAAACATTTCCCTTTCTTTTGTGTAAAATATATTACAAACACAACAGATAAAAAAACAGACCTTGGAAAATATGTTGGATATATGCAACATGAACCTTTAGCTGTCAAATGTTGGTGAAAATGAAAGCAAACTTTATCCATTCCTTTGCTCAAATGCTAAAAATTCATTTTCTCTTTGTGCTCTGGATAAAAATAATCTAAACCCACCTAAATGAATCCATAAATAAATGAATAAATTATTCATTCAAATTACACTACAGTACATGAATAAATCAATAAATCAATAAATATATAAATAAAGTACATTATTAGCATCACGCCGCTAAGCTACCAACCTGTTCTGCTGAGCTAAGCTAGGCTAGTTAGCCATTAGCATGCTGCCCTTTTCTGTTTACATTTTTGTTGTTTCAACACAAGGAATATGTTTCCAATTAAACAAAATGGGTCTGTGAATTGTTTTGTTACAAAAAGATAGTTATATTATGCAAAGAAAAATATTTGGGCTGGGAGAATATATTTTGCAAAAGCTAAAAACTAGAAAAACCGAAGTTTTTACATGCGTTTTTCTGACTAATGAGTCTTAAACTGTGAGCTAAATGTTAAGATCCAATGTTCTAATATTATTCATATAAATATATAATTGCACATGTTTTGTTTCTCTTTATTTATTCAGTTATTAATATTAAAGGACAGACAGCAAATTGTCCTTGTTATGTGTTTTAATTTCCATTTTCTCATAATTAATAATCAAATGTGAATTTTATTTGATGTAAAAGACGCCTGACTGTTTTAAGGCTGGATTTTCTATATAATGCTCTTTGTGTACCTCTGTTGTCCATTTTATAGTTCCAATAACAAAAAAGAAAAATAATAAAAATACTTAATTATTAAGATTTGCCTAATAATTTTTTCAATTCCATTATTCTTCACTTTAGTGTTGAATGAATATAAATATAATGTTTTAATGTCAGCTTGTTCTAAGAATCAGACACCAAAAAGAGCTACAATATTGCTACTAGTTACAAAATACTGTCAACCAGTTTAATCCTCAGAGGTCAAAGGAGATAATCCAAATTAACAACCTGTAATCTGACGGTTGCTCCAATAATCATGCTCTTCCTCAGATCTCCAATGCGAATCATGAAGCACAGACGGTTGTTCCTCACGGCGATAACGGCGTGGCGGCTAAAGATCAACGTCTCCGCTCGGCGGTTCGACTGAGCCGTCTTCATAAAGATGCAGCCTGAGAACGGAGAAACGCCCAATAATGTGCAACTCTTATAGTCTGTGATTGGTAGGTCGTCTCTGCATCAGCAAATGAATGTTTCTACCCAGCATGACGGCGTTGATGATGAGTCCCACTATGTTCTGCAAGATGAGGACAGTAATGGCCGCCAGGCAGTGTTCTGTTATCATCCGACCTCCGAAGCCGATGGTCACCTGAACCTCGATGGAGAACAGGAAGGCTGAGATAAACGACCTGGGAAAAGAGAAAACACTGAAAAACTCAAACATCTTAAACAAAAAATCACAAACCTATCAGGTTATTATTTTAATAATACTGTTTTACACAGAAAGATATATGTTTTATCATTGGTGCTGTTAAATGTGCGCTCTGTGTTTTTCTGCATCACTTTTTTATAAGTTAGGTAGGTTCCATTTTGATTGTTACAGATCAATTGTTACAACACTCCACTCAGGTCATTTCTACACCATGAAGTTGTGTTAGAGTACTGCATAGACAGAAAATTGTCATGTAATGTTGGAATATTTTGGGCTGGAGTTTCCATCTTAGATGTTTCAGTTGTCATATAAGAGATCCTGTATTCTCTGAAACCAGTGGTGAAGGTGGATGTCATCTGCATAGACAGAATACGATATATTTTAATTCTAAATATACCTTAAGATGAGCAACAACAATGGATGCAGAGTTCCCTCCACTGGCTATGGGTCACCATGTGTTGGTTGGCTGCCATGTAGGACAGGCAGTGACCAAAGACCTTGGCGGTTTGATCACTTTATTGTTGAAGTTGCCTTTACATTGATCCTCGGCTGCAGGAGCTGGCTCCCAAGATGTGTTATACCTCTCTGGTAGGGAAGGAACCTGAGCTGATGAGCGAGGTCGAGAGGGTCCAGCTAGATACTGTTGGACTCACCTCGACGGGTCTGGAACCAAGAGAGGGGATGGACACTCTCCTGCTCTGGAGTTCACCATTAGCAGGAGTGGGCATACTCATCGGTTCCTGTCTTGACACCCACATATTGGAGTTTATCCAATCAGTAACTCAGATTGCTCATTCTTTTTGGAGTCTGTGCAGGGGCTCCTGGTAAGCACTCCTGCTAGGGACTCCCTTCAGCTGCTGGGGGATTTCAAGTCTCACGTGGCCATTGACAGTGAGACCTGGAGGGGGGTGATTAGGAGGGATCTGAATCAACCAGTGTTTTGTTATTGGACTCCAGCACTCTTCATGGACTGCCCGTAGTGAAAACCAAGTTCAAGCATAAGAGTGTCCATATGTGCCGCAACTGAACAACCGACTTTGTTGACGTTTCATTTGATCTTTGGTCGCATTTGATCTTGAACACTCGAGTAAGGAGAAGGAACAAAACTGTCAACCGATCACTACCTGGTGGTGGAGGATGCTGGTCAGTCCCAACCTCTGGTGCTGAAGCCTCTGAGGTGGTTGAAAAGCTTCTCAGTGGTGGGGTGGATTCGTACAAAGGTCCCCAAGGTTTTAGATGTTGTAGGGTTGTGTTGGCTGACATGTCTCTGCAATGTCAGCCAGTTCCCCTGGATTGGCAGACCTCTTAGTTGGTTCCCCAACTTAAAAATGGGGGCTACAGAGTGTGTGTCTACTACAGGAGAGTCACACTCATTAGCCTCCCTGGTCAAGTCTAGTCATGGATTCTGGACAGGAAGGTCCGCCCGATAGTAGAACCTAGGATTCAGGGAGAGTGGTGTGGTTTTCATCGCACAGGGTCTTGGAGGGTGAGTAGGAGTTTCCCCAACCAGTTTACGTGTTTTGTGGACTTGGAGAAAGCGTTGGACCATGTTCCTCAGGAAATCCTGTAGGATGCTCCTGGAGAGAGTTACAAGGTCATTCCTGGATGACTGGTGTCAGAGCTGGGTCTTCATTGATCCTGGTGAGAGTTGGACTCGGTCAAGGTTGCCCTTTGTCACCGATTCTGTTATAACCTTCATGGACAGAATTTCTAGGCACAGCCAAGGTGTTAAGTGGATCCTTTTTGGTTGCCCCAGGATCTGGTTTCTGGCTTTTGAATGTGATGTGGTTTTGTTGGCATCATCAGATCATGATCTATAGCTTTTTCTGGAGTGGGAAGTGATCGGGATGAAGCTCAGCACCTGCTAGTAATAGACCAGGGTCTTTAGCTGGAAAAGGGCAGAGTGCCTTCTTCAGGTCGTAGAAGAGAGGAAGAGTTTTAAGTATCTTGGAGTCTTGTTCACTAATGAAGAAAATATGAAGTTGGAGATCGTAGGACAATGGTGGTGATTGTTGGAGGAGTTTGTCACCAAATTGGTGGGTTGCCAGTTTGATCCCCTTCTGTCAGAAAATAATACTGTATAAGTAGAGACTATTTACCATCAATAGGCAGATTGGTGATGCCTATTGATAGGAAAGTTGATAGCACCTATCAACTTTCCTATCCTCATCTGGGACAATTACATCATAGAGTGAGCAAATTTAGCAAGGCCTGAAAACAGAACCCTGTATAAGTAGAGACTATTTACCATCAATAGTCTACTTGTCTGTAAACCGGCGTTTACAGACAAGTAGAAACCTGGCAAGATCTGGTTAAAATGAACCACCAAAGTTAATTCACAATACCATCATTATTGGCCATAATTATTTGGTGTTTGCTAAATAAAAGAATAACCGTTTCTACTTTCTTCTCATTATTTTGAGCTGCATTGTTTGAGAAAATCAATTTGAACCACAGCTTTTCCCGAATATTTCCAGTGAAAGTTAGTTTGTGCCTGAGATTTAGGCAAATACGATTTTTGCTTCATTAGCAGCCAAAAGAAACGAACATAGAGTTCAATATTCTGATCACAAAGCAGAGAACATCAAGAGAACTTAAATAGATGGATGCTGAAAAGTAAAAACATTCTGAAACCTTTTGGGAATAATCTATTTAAAAATCTAACAGGTTGAGTTTTTTCTCCTCATCTTCCTCTGCTGGGTTTTAAACGGAGAAAGAAGAGGGAGGGAGGAAGAGATAACTTACACTAATCCTACTTTCACTGTTCAAGTTTAACTTTTTCCACTTTTCTAGCTCTTTGAGAAGTTTCTTACTCGACATCGGTGACGCAGTGGGTCTCGTTTTTCCGCGCCGGGTCCATGTCTCCGTGCGCAAAGGCCACCAGCCACCAGCTCATCGCGAACAGCAGCCAGCTGCTCACGAAGGTCGTGGTGAAGATGACGAGCGTGAAGCGCCATTTAAGGTCCACCAGCGTGGTGAAGACGTCCTGCAGGAAGCGGCCCTGCTCGCGGATGTTCTTGTGCGCCAAGTTGCACGAGCCGTTCTTGGCGATGAAGCGCGCCTTGTTCACGCGGTCCCGGAACACCGGCTTCCGCGGCAGCCGGGAGGCGAGACCCGGCAGCCCGAACTCCTCCGGGATGATGCTTTTCCTGGCCAACATCTCGCTCCTCTTCCTCAGCCGCCCTGAAGCCCAGATCCGCCTCACTCAGTGCGCCTTTACGCGCGGAAACATGCCAAAAATGCGCAAAAGATGAAAACGTCCCGACTTGAGAGCAGCGCGCCGCCTCTGCTCCGCTCCTCTGAGGGCTGGGACAGTGTCCTCTGTCCTGTTGACGTCGTCCAACTTCCAGAGTCCAGTCCCGATCAGGACTGGAAGCTGCTGCTGCTGCCTTCAAGGACTCCACCAGCACCGTCGGAAATCATACAAACTACGCGGAACAGAGGAAATATTGGATTAAAAAAACTATTTTACAGCATAATTTTGATTAGTTATGGACTTTTAAGAACCGATAAACTAAAACTCATATCGGAAATCAGAGTTAATTAAGCTTTTCTGCTATTCGGTGGGCCGCATTTTCCACATCTTTTTCAGCTGAAACATCACAATTGTGTTTATTTTTGATGTCATGGCTTTCCTTTATTTAATTTATTATAAATATAATCTTCGGAATCGACCAATTTTCTCTTAATCTGCCCTGAATGATGATCGGCAGAATTTATTTCCTGCTCTTTCATAAATTATAAACTAAAAACATAAAGAAAATCTCTATTTCAAATCGAATAAAAATATTATAAACGTTAAAAACAGGATAAATAAATTGGAATAAATCTAAACAGACCATAAATAGAAAATATTGGCAGAGAAATAAAAAAAACTGTTTTAAAACAGCCTAATTTCTGCTCGTGTTTTGCCGCCAATTAAGAAATTTAATAAAAAATAAAGCTAAGAAATTAAAGCATGAGTCATAATTATGTAACATGGTGACAATAACATCAAAAACGGTTTTAACTCCAAGTTCTGTAAGAGCAATTCACAGATTTAACGCCAGAGGGCGCCATTCCGCAGCGTATTCCATAACCTGCTTTCTGAGTTTCCTCCTTCAGCTGGAAAAGAGTCCGACTTTACTTAAAACGGTTTTATTGTCATTTCATGTGTAAAAAAATAGGCACAAACAATAAATCATTGTTTTATGTTATTAAAACCCTTAGATATGCAAACAGAATTGACACATGCTTATAAAAATCGCATAAAACTTGCATTTACCGTCTCTAACAGTCGAGTGAATTCAGAACAAGTGAGACTTTCTGCATAGAGCTGCTGATGTCACTGAATTTTTTAACTAAGTCACAATAATTTGTTTCATCTTGTTTGTTTTCATTGCTGCCGTTTTTCACAGACAGTTTGTTGTGTTAAAGGAGTCCAGTGGAGACGAATGCAGAAGAGTAAATATGCAAAAAATTGATCTCAGCTGCAAGGATAATGCAAAACAATGTTAAGAACTGAAGAGGAAAGATTTTAACATCAGTGAGTGAAAAACAAACCTGGTGATGTTTAACTGAAGCAGAAACATCTTGAGATGAAACATCAAAGAAAAAACTGAAATAAATCTAATAAACCTGGTGTTTCCTCCTGACAGAGGAGAAGCCATAAAATAATATAAATAATATAAAAACAGTTTAACCAACTAACTAGAAAACAGAGACAAAGCTCCCAGAGAGGTGAAAAAATGTTGCTGAATTATTATAAAATAGCATAAAACTAAATACAGTAAAGGCCATAATTATGATTTATTAGTAGTTTTGACTGTAAAGAGGTGAAATATGTTTATTTTAACTTAGTTAAAGCAAATAGCAACAGTTTATATTTAAAATATCATAAAAGAACATAAGTAAATGTTTTCAGGTCTGAATGGCAAATAGGAAAAGTTATAAATTATTTTAGCAGTAATTAATGCTCTGCAGATGAAGATTCACCTGAAAACAAAAGAACAGCCAGTAATAATCAGATTATCAGAGCAAAATTATTAACAAATAGGAATATAAACACAATGCAAATTGCTTCCAGAAATACAATCTTGTTTTTTTATTTTAAAAAATATATAAAATGCTGGCAGCAGGTTAAATTGGCCATTAGAAAGTTTTTAGTTGGTAAAACAAAAGATGCAACAAAATGTCTTTTTAAATCACAAAAAACTTTCCAGTAAAATTTAACCAATCATTATTCATAAAAGTTTCTTCCAGAAGTTCAACTTTATTTCTAACTAAATGAACCTAATTTTTAAAAATCATATTAGAAAAAGTTTTAATTAGACTTTACAGAAAATCACCTCTCAGGTACCGAAAGCCAAAAACGCTCAGCAAAGCACGACTGCAGACAGACAGCAGGGTCAGCGGCTGCAGGCGGAGCCGCGGCGCCTTACAGTGTTCGCACTGACGTCTGCACAGAAATACGACCGACTGAGCGACAACATGCAGCAGAAACACGCTGCAGGTGAAACAGATTGTTTCAGTCCAGAAGGTTTGATGCTTAACAAAAAAATTAATAAATCAGAGCGAGAAGTTAATTTTTTCAATTAAAAATGCCAATTATGCAACTTCAAATATTTAAGTTGTATTATTTTAGTGGTGGGACTATATTGACATTTTTAATGGAGTTAATTTTAGGGTCTGAAATCAGTTAATTGTAATTAATCAAAACCAACATAACAAAATAAACATTTCAGTTAAACTTTTTGTTGCCAAATTATTGAATTAAATGAGCTCAATAAAGATATTTATTGCTTTTAATCTGTTCACGGAGCATCTTTAGAAATGTAGACTGTGGACGCTACCATTAGCATTAGCACAATTAGCATTAGGCTTAAATAGCTTCGCTGATTCGTTAACTCATTTTAGCACAACATGAACACAACAATAGTCTTTTCCAATCAGATCGTTTTAGAAGCAAAAATTAACCCGCAGTGGGCTGAGAGAAGCGACTTTGTTGTCCATTACTGTGTGTTAGATTTACAGCCATACCAGAAACATGGAAATTCAAAGGTTCCGGTTTCAGGAATCACTGACAACCCCCCCACCTAAAAAAACAACAACAAACGATTATGTTAAAATTTTAACCCATTCTTGGTAATTAATTAATCAAAGTTAACGTGTCAAAGTACCAACTCTAATTATCTTATATTGTGCTCATGTCCTCCCCTTCCTGATTCCACCCTGGACAACTGCCCATATCAAAAACTACTTCATGGTAAATAATCCATACTAGGAGCAATATTCATCATGACAGACTGAAAAGATTAGAAGGAATATTTTCAGGTAATTATTAATCTTTTTTGTTTGAAAACAGTTTCTGATCTTTTGTCACTAACAGACAATGTAACCAAATATATAACAATCTGCTGCTCAGGCTTCATCCTCTTCCTCCTCATGAGGAACCAGTTCAGTCTCCTCTATCAGTCGTATTTCTGTGGCAGAATCTTAGAATAAACAGAGTAAAATAAAAACAAAATAAAAACTTCCTTCACAGTGAGAAAAACTGCATGAAGTACCAAACACCAGCCAACATTCAAACTTTCTGCATTATTATTGCTTAGCATCTGTGTAAAAATTGATAAAAGTCTAAAAGTGTTGCAATATGTAAAAGTTAAACAGTTTAAAAAGAATGACATCACAAAAGGTCCTAAAAGCCTGTACAAACTCAGCAAGACAAAGAGGTAAAACAACTGGGGGCTCGTCCGGGATCACCAATATCAGGGTAAATTTCACTAAATGTTTAAAAATCCAAGAGGCACAAAAACCAGTGACAGCAGGTTTTGAAACCTTTAAAGAAACACTGAACTCATCTGGGACAATTTAATGTGGCGGATTAACGCACGTCTTCCTGAGTGTGTTTGCAGTTCAAAGATGCTAAATCTTGAATTCTATCTGGAGTAATTCAACCTTTGTTTTTTGTAGAATCTGCTGAAAACAAGAAATAAAACAAAATAAATGCAATTAACCGCATGTCAGTCTTAATCTTGGACATATTTGGAGGCATTTTTATTGGTCGTGAAACCAAGAATAAGAGTTTATAGAGAAATATTGACAACATTCTAGATTGGAGAAGCCCGTCAACACTGATGGGGACACTCCCGCTAATCGTGGAGCTAATTAAAATAAAGCTCAACATGCGAGTGAAGTTTTAATTGTTGACTGTTTGGCTAACGACTTTGAAGTGGGGGAAACTCTTTCGCCTATGCAGCAGTATTAGCAAAGCAACTATAAAACTGAAACCATGAGTGAGAGGTTTGTTTCAAATAATCTTTTCCTGTAGCGCAAACAGAAGTGTGTAATGACAAATTTGATCCAGTTGAGGGCGCTATTCTATGATGTAGCTCATGTTATTGACACACAGTGGGGATCATCATCATTAAACTTAGCGCTTTAGCATTAGCGTTACATACCCGGCTGGTGTAGCTGCTTAGCGTTAGCAGAGCTAATGTTTATGATTAGTGATTTAGGGTTAGCACAGCTAGCTTTTTAGTTAGCACTGCCCACCCACTACTAATGTTGGACAAACTTATAACCACACAAGGAACTACAGCCTTTAATGTAGTACATTTATTTTAATTCTCCACTTTCAGGTTTAATTAAATTTATTGTGTATAAATTATTATTTTTTGTAGAAAATGCACAACTAAGATTTAGGCTAAATTATCTAGACTTCACAATAATTTGGGGTTTGAATTTATTCTACCTCTTTATTTAATCTAGTAGATCTAATTACTAACAAACACCTGATAACTGCAGTTTTACTGAAAACCCCATTGATGTTCAAAACCTTTAGAGATGATGTATAAAACTAACTGAAGTAACGAGACGTCTGTGTTTAATGTGAGACTTTTCCCACAGATTGTGAGCATGATGCTGATCCAAGATGAGATTAACTGGATTAACACGTCCAGTTTCAGCTTGTCCACAGCTTCCTGCTGCATCGTCGGTTTAGACGTGATGTTTCTGTGTTTCAAAATTGTTGCAAAAATGAGTTTGAACTAAAGAGTCGAGGATAAAACCGATCCGTCGGTTGTTGGAGTCTACATGTCGGCTTTGACGAAGGAAGCGAACATCCCATCTTCCTGCTCCAGCAAAGTGTCCGGTGTGTCGTACTCCAGGATGTTTCCTCGCTTCATCACAATGACCAGGTCAGCGGTTAGGATGGTGTGGACACGGTGCTGCAGACACACAACAACGGTTTAGCTTCCTGTATCGGCAGGTTAGCTTCCTGTTTCAATCCATTCATCCATCTTTTCATCCGTACTTTGCAGATAAAGGAGAATCGAGTTTAATTTTTCCTGTAAGGGTTTCTTGAAACAAGCTGTTTTAAATATTGTTCTGTAGCAGAAGTTCAGTGCTGATCAGAGAGCATGCAGCAGTTCATTTGGTACCAACCAGGCAGTCAGCGGCAGTAAGGCTTCAGCAGGGAAAATCAGGAAAACAGACAGAAACCAGAAACCAGAGGTCGGAGGTCAGAGGTCGGCATTGGGTCTGAGCGGATCCAGGTCTACTTGTGAGTCCTCACTAGCACACCAAAGAGGCTTTCCTCCTGCGCTAGGAGGTTGGGACCCGAGTCACTTTCCACCAAAATCCCAGAGGAGAAGACCAGCACCTGCTCCGCATCCAAGATGGAGGAGACGCGGTGCTGGAGGTCCGACGAAGAGGAGGAAGAAGAGGAGGAGGAAGGAAAGGAGAAGGAAGAAGAGGAGGGGGTGACATGACGCAACACAGAAAAAGGAAAGCAGGTAAAAGAGGATGAAGTTTACAGGAAATGTATTCAACGCGAATGCAGGAAAATGAATTTAGTTTGAAGGAGGAAAAAATCAAGAGAAATGCTTAAAGCTGCAGTTTGTAACTTTCATAAAATATATATTTATATATTTGTTAAAACATGTCGTGGCCGTTTAACATGAGACAGATCATCTGTGAAAGGATCGGTTTAATCCTCCTCAGTGAGCTGTTAGTCCTGTCTGAAAAAAATGCACCAAAAACAACCAATCAGAGCCAAGAGGAGGGGCTTAGCGCTGCCAATCATCCTCATGTACTCGCCACTAAATGCGCTAATGTCGGAAAAACAACTGACCATTACAGGAAAACTGTTTATCTGCCTTTTATGCTAACTAGCCTTAGCAACCATGACAGGTGATTCTGGCTAACAGAAAGCAAAGGGGAATGATTAACAGCACTAAGCCCCGCCTCCTGCCTCTGATTGATCGGTTGTTTCTAGCTAGCACTGGAAGAAAGCAGAGGAGCTCAATTATTTCAGATTGTCTCACATACCAAACTATCGCAACATGGTGACAATTTCAACAAATATTTAAAAGTATATTTTTAATAAAAGTTACGCAGCCTTAAAGGAAAATGATAAAAAAGCTGCAGATCTGCATCAATCTCAGCGTTTTGCTGCGTCTGGGTTTTATTTACAGCCGAAGCGAAGCGACGACTTACTGCAATCGTAACGACGGTTCTGTCTGCGAACGCCGTCATCACGACTTTCTGCAGGATGTTTTCCTGCAAAACACACAAAACATGAGCGATAAAAAATAACTCAGCAGAAAGCCTGTAGCAGAAATATAATGATGTATGATTACACCATTATTAATGCACAAATATGACTTTTCAGAAACCTGTCTTTAAAGAAAACTGTCACATTAATGTTCTGTCAGGTTTTAAAGTAGCGTTTAATCCCAAATCCATGGTTTCAGAATTATATCACTGGTTCAAGTATCAAATTATTTTCATGCTGACAAAGGAAACGTTTGCACATCTATCTGTGTCTTTTCTAAACTTCTATCTCTGGAAAGACGATTTAAAACTAAAGTGAAATTCATTACACAAACAAAATAAATGTTTTTTTTCCAACAGGGAAAGAAGTTTGGGCATTTTAAATATAATTTCTTTTTAAAAACATGATTTTCTTTTTTTAAAGTATAGTTTTTTAACAATTTTATTTTTAAAAATCTTTTCATATTGTTTTTTCTTAAATATTTTTTAAAAATATATATANATATATAATACNTACATATATTTTCTTTTTCATATTATTTTCTATGTTTTATATTTTTTAAAATTAATAATTGTTTTTTGAATAATAAAAGTAATTTCTTAAAGGCTACAAACAGTTAACCATTTCAGCTTTATGCTTACGCCCTTTTGGTCACATTTATTAATTATTTTTACTATTTTCATGTCTCCTTGTCACAGACTGTGCATCTCTATTGATTAATGACAATCATGTCTTTATTCTGGCGTCCAGTCAATTAAATTTTAGACATGGCAACATGACTAATTCCCCTCAAATTTTCCATAATTTCTTCTGGTTTTACTGTATTTATATCATTTGATTTGAAACTGATGTGAAAAATGTCTGAATCTGTTGTAAAATTGTCCGTCTGTCCTGGTTTTCCTCATGTTGGGGGACGAACCGTCGCCATGTCGATGGACGCCGTGGCTTCGTCCATGATGAGGATGCTGCTCTTCCTGACGAAGGCTCTGGCCAGACAGAAGAGCTGCCGCTGCCCGACGCTGAAGTTTTCCCCTCCTTCTGTCACAACGGCATCTGGACACACAGAGGGAGGTTCACTGCACCTGAAGACACCTGAACGATCGATTAGTTATCAGCAAACATACCGAGTCCTCCAGGAAGCGATTTGACCAGGTTCTTCAGCTGAGCGATCTCTAGCGCCTCCCACAGGCGGTCGTCAGTGCACATGCGCTCTGGATCCAGATTAAACCTGCAACAGGATTAATTTACAGATTATGATGAGTAACAAATGACGACAGGATCTCTGGAGGAAGACAGACATGAAAACGTCGGTTTCAGTTCGACACGAGCAAAACAGACAGAAAAAAACACTGACATTTTCTAGGAATAAAAATTTCTGAGTTTGAAAAGTTGAAAATTCTAATGAGAATAATTTTAAATATTTTATTTATATAATTTTAAAAATAAATATTTCAGAAGAAACATGGACATTTCTGCCTTTCAAAAGTTAAACATTTTCAAGTTTTGAAACTTAAAAATGTTCAGAATTATTTTCCTTTCTAGGAAATTTTTGACTTTTCATACTCATGTTTTCTAGGAAAAACTTGGAAATTTCTACGTTTGAAAAGTCAAAAATTTTCTAGAAAAAATTCAAATTTCGCAATTAATCTTAGAAAAATGAGGAAATAACAAAATTTTACTTTAAAAAGTAAAGATTTTTTGACTCCTAGTTGCAAAAGTGGAACATTTTTGACTTTTGAAACTCAGAAATTTCCACATTTTTTTCTAGCAAATCTTTTGACTTTTCAAGCTCTAACTTTTTTTTATAAGAAAACTTTTTTTTTTTCAAAAGTTATTTTCTAGAAAATTTCTGGCATTAATCTCAACATCTGTGAGGTTTCCATCAGGTTTTGCTCCTTTGTCTCCCTATAACTTCCTTTTTCTGCCGTTGTGTTTTAGCTGAGTGACTCTTCGTGTTCCTGCTGAGATTCTCACTGTCTGAGCATTTGCTGCGTTCAGGAAGTGAGTGAAGCAGTTACTGTCGACCATTCACCCCGGCCTGCGCCGTCTCTCACAGCGTTATCTGAAGCAGCGTAACTGTCCAAACAAACACCACATGCTCCGTCTTTTTCAACAAACAGTCGGCGTGATTATCTCGTAGCACAAACACGAGGAGGAGAGGAGGACGGAGTCGGGGCGTCCTTCGTCTCCAGTGACCTCCTCCGTCTGTGACGTCTGTGACAAAGTCGGGTCGTTTCAGTCGGCGCTCCTGCTGCGTTTCAAACCCGCAGCTGGAGCCGCCGCCAGCTCAACTATTCTCCTTCTTCACACACATTTGGAAGCATGAATTTTTGTTTCTGCTCCTTTTGGTGTAAACTGATATTTTTGAACTTGAATAAAAGAATGCCCATATTTAGACTCACTAACAGAAGCTGGAAATGTCAGAAATGTTTCAGTGTTGGTCCCAATCAAACCAAATCTACCGGAGGGAAAACACATGATATTCCTACCAGAACCAATTAAATTTCTGTAATACTGACTGTATTTGTAACTAATTATGAGTTATATGGCTCAAAATATAAAATCTGTCCCAAAAATAATCCGGTGCTGGACTGAACACTTGTGATTAAGCAACAAAAAAACTCTTGAATCAGTTGTTCAAAACCACATTAGGAGATTATAAGAAGGTCTGGCTGCTTAGAAGGCAAATATTATTGTTGTCTTTATTATTTATGATTATTATCTGACTGGAAATCACATCATGGATCCATTTTTAATCAGGATTTTGTCAGGTTTCAGAGTAAAACAAGAATCTGTCAGAAAAGAAAAACTCCAGTTCCATTTTTAAAAATACAAACAAGCCTTTTCTGGTTTTAACCTTCATCTTTGCGAATCAGAAGAAACCAAAATCATAAACTTGTGTTGCTTTGATAGACAAACATAAAACAGGAAGAGGAAGCTGTTGGGTCCTGATGAGTCCGGTGGGACGGCGCGGGTCAGCAGTGTGTGTTTGTGTACCTTATGGAGCCGCTGAACAGAACCGGATCCTGCAGGATGATGGAGAGTCGAGACCGGAGCGTCTGCAGGGGAAGCTTACAGATGTCGATCCCGTCGATGACGATCCGCCCTGCAGAACCAGTCCAGGTCCAAATCATGATTGTTTTAGTTACAGGCTGGTTCAGCTTAATGGCCGTCTATTTCTAGAGACGGCTGGCGACCGGGCTTCGCTCCAGTGCCAGGTCTGAGATTGTTTCATGGAGCTCTGGTTAGTGTACCATAACGCTAACGCTGCTTCATCGCTCCAAGGTTTGCTTACAAATGTCTGAAGGTAAGGAAGAGTTTTTAACCAACCTGTATAGATTTTAACGTAATTAATCACATTTTTTTCCAGGTGGAACCATTTTATTTGTGTGTTTCTGGTACACCCATAAATCTGGCGCACATGGTTCTAACAGCGACAGGACGAAGCCGCTTCTCTCTTCGCCCCACTGGGTTTTAGTTTCTGCTTCAAACGATCTGATTGGACGCTGGAAAAGATGATTGTTGTGTTCAAATTGTGCTAAAAGGAGTTAGCTCATCAGCAAAGCTATGCTAGCCTAAAACAGCATGTCAACGCTAACCATGTAGCTAATGCTAATGTTAGCATCCACATTTCTAAAGAAGCTCCATGAATGATCAGGGCTTCAATCTGATGGCTGAATAAAAGATTAAAAACTTTAAATATATTTGTTGTTCAGCTCCTTTTTCTTAAAGTAATAATTTAATTAATAAATTAGCAGCAAAAATTGATTTTGAATTGAAAAATTTGCTTATTTTGTCGACAAATAGTTGAATTAATTACAGATCCTTTAACAAAGTTCCACCTCTACTTTTTTATCTAAACTATATTTTCCTTTGGTGTCTAGAATCGCCGTCTGCAACCTCTGTAAGCGAAAAGAGACGTTTTCATCAAACAAATAAAACTTTATTAGCTCCAGAAATGTTATGCTTATAATTTATGATTGATATCTAATACAGAAAAATATTGTGTTTTAAAAACTGCCATTTTATAAATTCAAAGAAAAGTGCAACTTATGTGCATAAAATTATTTTGTATAAAATATAATACAAAAATATTTACTACCTACAAAGTTTACATATTTATAGTTAATGTCAAAATTCTTGTTTAGGAACAAAATTTCAAAATTAGTGAAAAAAAAACAACTACAAAACATTCCTGATTGTTTGGAGTCATTATTTTGTGCAATTATTCCATCATAAAAGTGCTAAAACCTGCATTTGTTGTAATAGTTTTATTTAAATATATTATTTTGTTCTTTATTTGTGAAATCTAGTGAAGCTTGTTTCTACTGAGTGTAATAGTAAATATTAAGGCATATTTAGTGTTTAAAGTATTAAAATGTGTATAAATGTTTTAGAGGAAGTCAAAAGTATTTCTGGATTGTAGTGAATCAAGAACAGCTGTGTGTTTAAAATTGATTTTTTTTTTATTTAAAAACTTGTTCTTAGTTTTCTTATTGTTGAAATTCAGAATAGATGCTTTAGGACTTTGCTACTTTAAAACATAACTGAGTTTTTTTCCTGAAATATTTTCTCTGGTTTAATGCAAACCTGCAGAGCACCAGCAGTTGATTCAGAGCAGCCGCCGGTTTTACTTCACTGCTTTATAAGGAAGCGCCGCTGACACAAAGCTCTTAATTTACAGTGTGATTAAATAACCGCCCAGCTGTATGTGCGTATGGAAAAAGTGACGGTGTAATCTTTGAGAAACCTGCCAGGGAGCATCCATCATCCCTCAGAGCGAAAACAGAGAAAGCTACAGCTGGCTGCGGGGCTTTATCGCCGCTGTCCTGCTGAATTATGACCTGCGTTTCTGTTTTGGTTCTGTTTTAATCCTCCACTTCAGGTTGTTAAACCCAGCAGACACAAAGAGCAGGAAGGAGGAGCTGCAGGAGTGTTTACAGAGAGCGGAGCAGCAGACTGAAACAGTTTGTGTCGCGTAAACAGGAGCCGCTATCAGACACTGAGGATGAAACGTTTAAATATGAGGCGGCCATATTCAATGGAACAATGCAGCAGTTATTTCACTGAACTAGACGTTCAGTTTGACGAAATCAGAGTCAGAAAAACTTCAGAAAATCAACAAAAACTGATGTTTGCATCAATATATTTAGGCTAAAATGTGTATTTTGTTTCTTTAAATGTATGTAATTATGCAGCAAATTGTCTGACTTCAAGTTATAAACTGCCAAAACAAAATTATAGCAAGTATATTTAGTCTTGTTCTCGTGCAAATACCTTATTACACTTGATAAAAGATACAGAAGCTGGTTTAAGTAAATAATTCCTAAATATTGATGAGAAATTGGCAGATAAATTTACTCATAACAAGACAATTTCCTCATGTTTGCAGTGAAATAATCTGATGTTTTACATCAATATTAAGTAATTATTGACTTAAACCAGATTCTATATTTTGCCCTTGAGTTAGTTTTGTCTTACTTCAAGTGAACTAAGATATTTGCACAGGAAACGAGACTAAACACACTTGGTAAGACTTTTTTCAGTGTGTTGGTGAGCTAAAGTTAGAAACCAGATCTGAAGGTTGCATCATTAAAAATGGGTGAATCATTGGAAAAGTTTCCATTTCCAATCCGGTTATAAAAACAAGCCCGAAAGGAGAATCGTGCTTCATCCTGGCATCAGATTCACAGATTCTCATTCTGGAGGCAGAAAAAAAACGCAGATCTTACTCTGAACAATGAAAATAATATTTTTTTTAACTTCCTGATAGATCTGAATTATTGTTTTTCCAACATGGAAAGATTAAACGTTATAAAACTGCATGAAAAGAAAGAAATCAAAATCAAGACCTGGATGTCAACTCTGAGGCACGGTAGAGGCAGCATCATGGTGTGTGGTCGTTTCAAGCTTCTGGCATCATTTTGTCTCCATATTTTACCACCTTTACATTAAAAACCAGCCCCACACAGCATGATGCTGCCACTGGTTGACATCAAAGTCTTACTTTTAAATTCAAGCCCAGTTTTAAAAAAAGAGATTTTAAAACTTTAAATCACAACTCAGTTCAAGAATCTCAATACATTTAAATTTTTCTTCCTGGTTTTTGCAGTTTTACTCATTTTAGATTTCAGCACATCTCTTTTGATGCAATAAATCAATTCATCACATGATATATTAAAACAAACTCAATCAATTTTGTGATTTATTGTTTTTTTCTTTCTTCAAAAAACTGAATAATAAAAGTTTTCAATCTGCTGCTTCAGCCTCAACTTGCTCCTTTTTCTGAAGGACAGTTTTGTTTACATGTTTACATTCATAATTCATTTTATTTGTTGTTTTGTTTATCTATTTTGGATATTTAACCGGTCTTCCAGTTCCACTGTTTAAATGTTCATTAAAATTTAAAGTTTAATGATCTTTGAAAATATTTATTATTATTATACGTCTTTATATGATCTCAAAGTTACATTATCTTTTATTCAGTTGCATGGTTTCTATTGTCACTTATTGTAAATAATATTGTTTTCTGCACATTTTAAAATAATCATTTATCAATGAAGCATAAAGGACGGAGGAAGGATCAATAATTTAAAACCCACCTTCAAAAATATCCACCATGTTGAAAAAGGCGAGCGACAGAGAGGACTTCCCGCTGCCGGTGCGGCCGCAGATTCCCACCTGGGGAGGAAGAGGAGCGAGAATCAATAACCTTCATCTCGCTTCGCGCCGCCGCGACACAAAACTCACCTGAGTGCCAACCGGCTGGAGGAGACGTGATGCTGCTGCCCAGGTGGGAGTTTACACCTTTACCAACCAGAGTCATTCAGAGTCTGGTTGGCGTTTTGTAAATATTCCCACAAACTTTAAAGAATTTTAATGAGATTTTATATTAAAAATAAAAAAATCTACCCAAAAGTAGTGGAGTTCTACTGGCGTTGCTAGGCAACAGGGCGGGCTCCACTGGGGTTGCTAGGTAACAGGGCGAGCTCCACTGGGGTTGCTAGGTAACGGAGCAGTGTGACTCAACATTCCGAAGGTTTTTGAAACGGATCATTTTTCAGACACTAAAAAACGGATTGGTGGGTTTTTATGATTTTAGAAGCAGTTTAAACCAAAATAACAAAAACGTTCACAATGTGAATTTTGAATACTAGATCCTCTTCCAGGTTTTTTTTTAATTGTAGCCCATAGAAACATTTAATAACAGTTTTACTGTCTAAAATTCAACACCAAAGCCAACAGAAAGCTGCAGGTGTGTGAATTATCAGCTATGCAGAAATCTGTCACTTCTGTGCAACTTTTAGCCTCAGTTGCTTCGTGAATGTAGCCTGGAAATAACTTTTAGTTTTATTAACGGTCAGTCGGGGGTCGCAGCAGCTCCTGCGACCTTTCGCAGCATCGTGTTAATTACCTTCTGGCCCGGCTTGATGTAGGCGTTGACGTGCTTTAGCACAGGCTTGAGCATGGGGTCGTAGCGCACACACAGGTCGTGGATCTTTATCTCACCGTCATGAGGCCAGTTCTCAGGGACCTGCGAGGCGTCTGCAGCCAGAGGACAAGAAACACTCAGGATTTTACTATCTGCATGTCTGAGATCACAGCAGCGAGGGAACAAGACCACAAACCGCTGCCAGCGGCTCTGCACTGCAAAAACACAACATCCAACAGAACATTTTTATCTAGATTTAAATACAAATATCTTAATGCACTTTAAATAAGATTAAATTAACTTTAAGTAACTTTTCAACAAGATCTGAGCTTGTTTTATGTAGAAATTCTTTAATATTCATTAAAAAACATAGGGCTGAAATGATTAATCGTTTTAATCGTGATTAATCGGTCAATGACATTATCAACTAATTTAGTTGTTTATCGCTAACAGAGTCAAAAAGAGGCTATTTACTAAAAAACAACATGTTTAAAGTTGTAATTACAACAAATATATACATTTTGCATCTAAGATAAAAACTTTAAGATTCAAATTAAAGGAGGGAATTTTAGGCAATAAAATGTTTATTTTCTGTTTTAAAAAAGGAATTGAAGTATTTGTTTACATTCATATTTTATTTCTAATTTTATATAAAAAAATATTAAAGTGGTTAAATGAAAAACCTGCAGAATGAGGTTTTTTTCTTCATTCGATTAATCGTCAGAAAAAACCTATAGAATAATTAGTAAGGAATAAATCAGAGATATTTCCTATCCAGATGAGCAGAAGTTACCCATCGATCCCTCGTAGTTCTCGGACTCTGTGCCGAGGAAGCTGTTGACTTTCTTCACCGCTGCCATCTGGACCTCCAAGTCGGCCAAGTTCCTCACAACCCAGTTCAGGTAGTTGGTGATCTGCAAAAACACAAACAAAACCTGAACCATCTTTTCTCTCATTTTCATAGGTCACAGAGAGCTCTATCCAAGCATTTTAATAAGAAAGTTGAGTGGAAGGATTAACAAGTAATGAATACCAGCTGCTTTGAGAGGATTTTGAGGCCGTCTATTAAAGTAAACAGAACTTTAGTGTAAATATTACAGTAGGCCCACAATACTTCATTAAAAATACATTTTTACTGGTTACAATGAGCCAGAATCATCAAAATAAACAGAAAGGTTCAGATGTGCGTATGAGAGCCGACGCTCAGTGACTCACCGTGAGGGCGTAGGTCAGGCCGAGGCCCACCAGGCCTTTGGCGTCATTCTGACAGGTCCAGATGGAGGCGACGGCCACCGTCAGGACGATCACCGCGCCCAGGTAGTCCTGAAACCCAACAGAGAGAAGAAGAAGAAAACGCCTCCGGGTTTTAACAACGTCTCAGAACCGTCGAGGCTCAACAGTTCACTGAAAAACATTTTAGTTAACTGGAATGAATAAAAACGTTAATTAATGGGAAAAATGTGTGTTTATAAAACAATCTGAGTTCACAGAAATACTATCCATTATTTTCATGTTTATTAATTTATTTATTGGCCTTTTGAACTGACGTGAACATGATTAACCCGTCAGAGGAACCCATCTTTATGTCTCATTATGTAAAAATGGTTGTCAATACGAGACATAAAATGAGAAACTAGTTTATTTTATGAACGTTTCTGTTGGAAGGCGATGCCGTTCTTGAATTTATTTCTAACGATGGAGATTAAACTCTTTCATCTGGATGTGTTTAAATAAATGTCAAAGTTTTTATAATTAACTAAAACTAACAAAATAAAAACTGAAATTGATCAACCTTAACACATAAATAAAAACGGTAATTAACGGGAACTATATTGTGCATTTATAAAATTAACTAAAACATGACAACCAAACAGGCTGTTATTGTTTGTGCAATATTCTTTGTTTTTCTGTTTATTAATCGATTTATTAGCCTTTCGGTTTGATGTGAAATGTATTTTTTCTCCAAACTGTTTACGTCACCGTCGTTTCGTCTCTCCTTTCTCCTCCATCTTAGTCGGCAAAATGGGAGAAAACGCCGAAATCAGATGGTCTGTTAAATATTTATTACCTCGTCGATGTAAACATAATCACAATACTTTCTAAACTCTGCACCTAAAAATTTACTAAAGCATGAAAAAACTCAAACTATATAACTAAACAGTATTTAATTAATAAAAATGAGCAAACACACTATTTAAAACTAGATGATTTAGACCAACTAAATAAAACTAAGCTTTAATGAAACCAGAGCTGTTCTCCGGCTGGTTCTGGTCGGCTCCTTACCGTTCGGACCTCCAGCCAGCGGTTGGCAGCAGACAGAAACAGGTAGGCGGTGTTGTTGGTGTCTGTCAGCTCCAACATGCGCTGCTTGAACCTCGCCTCGTGTCTGAAACAGAAATCTGAGCTTAAAACTGTAAACAGGAAGCAGGAACAAAACCAGTCAGCCATGTTGTCTGGAAAAGATGTTTTTCTACCACGGAGACCAGTGATAATAATGGGAACGATCCCCTGATTTACTGGTTCTGAAAGATGTTTACTCGTGTGTGAGATTGTGCCGAGCGTTGGTGTGTTGGTGGGAAGGAGAAATCCTCCGGGACAGAAAGCGTGAGAGCAGCTTAAAGCTGGACAGCAGCACCGATGGGAAAGAGACGAGAGACAGAAATACAAGCAGGACACAGAAAGAGCTGCTCTGCTGCCGGAGCTTCATGAAACAACCTGCCAGTCCTGCTGGGCAGCCATGTTCACGGCCAGCATGGCGTACCTGAAAGCTCTGATGGTGGTGAGGCCTTCGGCGGTCTCAGAGAAGTGGCAGAGCAGAGGCAGCTGGGTGGAGTCATCCAGGTCCTGCAGGTCCCTGTCAAAGCAAGCAGACATCACAGGGGGACAAACAAAACCTTATGTGGCTCTGAGACGCCACACTAAACGCTTAGCTAGCAAGCTAAACGCTTAGCTAGCAAGCTAAACAGCTAAACACTTAGCTAGCAAGCTAAACGCTTAGCTAACAAGCTAAACGCTTAGCTAGCAAGCTAACAGCATCCAATAAGTAACGTCACTGTTTCCACAGGGAATCCTGATTTACTGCAATTTGTCCATGTTTAATCAAAATAAAATATATTTTATTATATCTATGAACATTTCTCAGATGAAACCGTTTTGTTAGCTAACTCCCTAAACAGTTTAAACTTTGCTCTGCAGACTCACTTGGAGGCGACTCTGAAATACTTCTGAATAAAGTAGAAGGCGACGGCGAGCGGCACCAAAGGTACGAGGAAGATGGGAGTGATGGAAGCCATGACCCCGATGGCGGACAGGCAGAGCAGGGTCGACCGCGTCAAAGACTCCAGCGTTGGAGGAATGTGCTGAAAAACAACAGAAACAACCAGATACATGATCCGTAAATCTACAGTAAAGCAGTCAATAGCTACAACTCTTCACTCCAGAATATTTGTCTGTGTTTACCTGGTCGATGATGTTGGTATCAGCAGAAAATCTGTTAAGGATCTGCCCCAAAGGTGTGACGTCAAAAAACCTGAGAAAAATCATCAGGAAGGTTTAAAAATAATAAAAAGTAAAGCACATTTCTATATGCTAAACTGGGGTTATCGTTTTTATTGCTTCTACAAATCAGCCCTGATGAATAACATGGATTTAATATCAACATGAAAACTAACTTCTACAAAGTGACTGCAGAAATATTTACTCCTTTTAAAGTGACCTAATCCAACAGGTCCAGTCAGATGGTGCTTCCTGTCTCACAATGTGTCTCCAATTTCTTAGTTTGTGTTAAATATTTTTATTTAACCAGTTTCCACTTTGACGTTAAACTTTTTTTTTCTAATTCTCCATTGGCACAAAAAAATAATTTTGTTGATTGTAAATTATTAGTAACAGAAATAAAAAGGTAAAATTATTCAAGAGGGTGAAAACCGTAATTTACCAGAAAGCTGGACTCCACTCATTTACAAGTAGCTTTAGCATTCGTGACAGCTAGCTGCAGCGTAGCATAGCCTGTGATCACACTGAGGTGATTGATGGCGCTAAGACCCGCCTCCTGGCTCTGATTGGTTATTTATAGTTAACACTAGGAGAAAGCAGAGGAGCCTGAACTTATCTGACTCAAACTGTCACAACATAGTGACAGTTTCAACAAATCTGAGCAGTTTTTGGGAGCTTTGGGTCCCAAAACGTTCCGACATGTCTGCAGGCCTGGACCTGGTTTACCTGATGGGGGCGTGGATGATCTTATTGAGCAGGTTGTGATGCAGGTTGGTGGCCGCAGAAAGACCCAGAAACTCCACAGAGAGGGAGGTGATGAGGCACAAGGTGATCCCTGCCGCGCAGAGGACGAAAAACACGTGCAGGTAGTACACGTTCTGCTGCAGGGTCATAAAAACACAAAACAGAGCAAAAATTCATAAAACAACAACAATAAATAAAGCAAATACTGACACAGTCAATTAATGATGGATACATAAATACCTATAAATTCTAACAAATTTTCATGATAATATTCTTGTTTTCAAACCATTTTTGAGTACAATAATGGTAATAATGGCATAATAATGCAAGAACACATTTTCAAAGTTCAATCAATTTAAATTCTAATAAACATTTAACAATAACTGGAATACATTTTAAATATCCAAAATAAATAAAACAAATAAAGTGAATAATGAATTCATCCTTCAAAAACGTCTGAAACTGGAGATTTTAATCATCCAGTGTTTGGTAGAAAGAAAAAAACAATAAATCACAAAAATGAAAATGTAATTTATCATGTGATTGATTGATTGATTATTGGAACAGGCCTGAAGGGAAATAGATGTTTCTGTTCTAGCCCTGAAAAGATATTTTGATTTATCATACTTGGCAATTTAAATATTTTTTATCCATAAATATTCTGATCATAGTAGAAGTGACTCTCAATGCTTCACACTTTTAAATCCAAATATTTGATATTTTTGTTGTATGTGGAAAAAAGATAGTAATAAAGCACAGCTATAGCGCTTTATTAATCATTATGCTAAAACAAAAGTAGTGACCTCAGGCTGAGGAGAAACATCAGTTGAGTTTATGGAGTCGGTCCAGTTCTGCAGGAATGCTGGCGTCTGATTGGCTGCGGTCCAGTTCTGCAGGAATGCTGGCGTCTGATTGGCTGCGGTCCAGTTCTGCAGGAATGCTGGCGTCTGATTGGCTGCGGTCTGAAGGTTTGCTTTCGTCTTATTGGTGGAAGTCCAGAGAGCCAGGCAGTAGTCAATGGCAACGATGACCGAGTGCTTCAGCAGCTTGGACGAAACCATGAGGAAGACCATGAAGAAGCCTCCAGAGGAGAGGTAGCAGCCGCACATCTGGAGACACGGAGCACAGAGCGGAGAGGCAGACATGCCCACAAGTCAGCTTCTACCAGCCCGAGGCAATTCCCAGCAAATAAAGTCCCAAGTCCAGCTTCAAGTCCTGAAACTAGACTTGGACTTGTCTCTCAAGGACTTGCCCAAATCAAGTCTCAAGTCTGTCATGTCCCAAGTCTTTGAGGGTCAAGTCCAAGTTAAGGCAAATTTACTTGTGTAGCATAATTTGTGTACAAAACAATTCAAAGTCCTTTGCAGAAGAATCAAGAGAAAGAGTGAAAAGCATAAATGAAACCAGTCAAGCTCCAAGTCCTAGTCAATTCTGACATCTTTTATTTTACGACCAGAGTCCGAGTCTCCAACTGGTTACCTTCCACGGGATCTTGGACCGTCTGCTGGTTGTGGTGGAGAAATTATCGTCATCTTCTTCCTCCTCTTCCTCCTCTGGAATGAGAACGATCTGATTTAGTGAAAAAGCTCAAAGCAGCAGCAGAAGAAGAGAAAGTTTCCATCACCTTCGTCCTCATCGTCCATCTGGTTCTTCGGTTCTCTGGAGTAGAACGCTCTGCGCAGCGTCTTCCTCTCCAGAGTCGTCTGACTGTCCTGCTGAATATCCTGCAGATTCAGCAGGTTAAAATCACCACCAGTCCCAGGCAGGGCCGAACACAGCATTTTTGGGGCCCTAAGCAGGTTTTTATTTGGGGCCCCTTTAACAACATGCTAACACCATTAGCTTTATCATTGCTAAGCTACTCTATACCTGCTATCATTAGCATAATTAGTAATTCGCTTATTCCAGTTTATTATGGATATTGATTCTAATATGTAGCAAACTAAACAAAACATTTGGATTTTGAAATATAGGGTGGTATTTAATCTTATATTTCCTCAACAACTATAAATTGTTCTCCAGCATTTAGTTTGTTTTATTCACTGTTACTTTAAATCTATTCTTCATCATGTTAGCTTGGTGCTCTTGGGCCCCCTGGTGGTGTGGAGGCCCGGCCTGATCCCAGGTCATGTGGAGTGAAACGGTGCTCTACCTTCTCCAGCTCCTGGTCCTGCCTGTTCATCAGAGTTTTCCAGTGATCGTAAAGCTCCGTGTCGTGAGTCTGAATGTCCTTCAGGGTTCCCTCTCTGAGGACCGAGCCGTCCTTCATCGCTATGATCTGGACACAAAACGCCAACTAACAGGACAGAAGGACTCACATCTGGTCACCAACGCAGCGCCGCTGTGCGTAGCAGCTGGTCTGAGGCGTTTGTTTTGATTGGGTCCCTCCAAACATCGTGGTCAACTCTCCGTTCTGCCAAACGGTGCTGCAGGCCTTCTGGAGCTTTGCTAACCTGAAACTACCAACTTTTTCATGGCAATCCGATTCGACCAATTCCGATCTTTTCACTAGGTTTGGGCATTTATCTTATCGTTTATCATTTATCGTGATAAGAAGTTACTCAAGCAAATATAAATGAGTAACAGTAATTACTACCAAACTCCGTTTACTTATTGGAACCGGCCTTCATACATTATGTACATATTTGTTCCTTTTATTTGACCTTGTTGTCTCCTCTAAAGTTGATTTATTTATTCTTAAAGTCTGCATTCTGCTGATGTGTGAAGCTGAAGTCAAATTATTTGTTTCTGCAAACAATGTTGGCCAATAAAGATGATTTTTATTCTGATTATATAAGCTGTCGAGGACTTTAGGCCTTATAACCCTTCACAGATTGGTGGACAGACATTTACTTCTCTAAAATTCATCACTGATGTTTTACCTATGCGTTTTCTACTTTGGCTTTGTTTTCGCTAATTAAATCACAATAGTGTTGAATCTTTCAGCTGTTTTTTGACCTTCGTGGTGACTTTAGCATCAGTTTTGGATTTGGGAGCCTCACCCAGTCTGCGTGTATGAGGTACTGCAGCTTGTGGCTGACGAGGACCACGGTTCGCTTATCGTCCTGCAGAAACTTCAGGATTCCCTCCTGCATCAGGTGATCGCTCAGGTGGATGTCCAGCGCTGAAAACGGATCGTCCTGTATGAAGTGGAAACCATGAACGCATCACAAACCAGATCGCAATCAGAATCCTCGGAGAAAAAAAACAACCCAGCAGCAGCAGAGAGCGTGAATACTTCAACGCCTTTCCTGAGGTTTTAAGTTTACACGGGGTGTGAGTTATCTTCACTCTGTGTCTGGCGCCCGACTCTGTTTGGATAATTAAAAATTCAGCCACACCAGAAAGCGTCTGCCAAGCGTCGGAAACATTTTCCACATGATGCTGAGAGCGCCTGACATCAGATCAGATATGTTCTGTCATATTCAGACGACGTCAAGGAAAACACAGAGCGCTGCAGACAGCGAGGGCGCAGCGCCATGACCGAGATGGGAGTTAATGTGGAATATCTGCCTGATAAGAATTTAAACCAACAGGAAATTATACAATTCAATTAGGAGCAGATTCACATGTGAATTCTTGTTCGTCTCATTTAAGAAACTCACAGCATCCAAAAGAAACCGCAGTGGATTCACACGCCAATGTTAATAGGAAACACTCAAGCTGCCATTGTGACCTTTAACCTTTGTAACTATTATTTGGTTTGACATTTTTTCTGTTACGTTGCAGATTAAGGTCCAGATTCTGGCTGAACCGATCTGAAATTTTATCTGCTTCTGGTGAAGGTAATCCTGTTAGCTCTAGATAATGCTGTTAGCTCTAGCTAATGGTTTCAGGTTCAGCAAATGGTATTAGCTCTTGCTAATCATTTTAGATGTGGCTAATAGTGTTAGCTCCAGCTAAGGGTGTTAGCTTGAGCTACTTTAGTGAACAGTAAATTCGCTGATTACTTTAGTTGGTTCTGGTGTCTAACTGCACATAAAGACTTTGATGCAGAAGATGTATGTTTTTATGCTAAATGTGCTAAATTTGAATTGTTCCTCCATTTTCATACTTTGTGCATTTCAGGGAAACGGTAACTTACCAGGAAGACAATGTTGGTGTTTTGGTACAAAGCCCTGGCCACACAGATTCTCTGCCTCTGCCCCCCACTCAGGTTGATCCCCTGAAACACCGACATCACAAAACATTAGGACAGACTCCGGGATTACTCCACGTAAATATTTATTACTTCAGTAATAGATTACAGACACCAACCCTCTCCCCAATCTCAGTCTGGTCTCCAAACGGCAGCAGGTCGATGTCCGGCTGAAGGGAGCAGGCATCGATCACAGCTTTGTACCTAAAAACACCCGGACCCAGAACAGCAGTCGGAGTCAAGACAGAATCGGAGCTGCTTGTGCTTGAACGGCCAACCCGACAGTTTGCTGCACAGAACTCCAGTTTCTCCAACATTTCCTCCAACTTAATAGTTACGTTACAAAGACCTAAAGATCATTATAATCAATGAAACGTCCATTCGTTATCAAGATTTGTTGGTTTCCAGGTAGTTCTTGCTAATCATGTTTGTTCCAGCAGCAGGTGTTTGCTTAGTTAATGGTTTCAGATTCTGCTAGTGGTGTTAGCATTGCTAATGGTCTTAGCTCTTGCTAACTCTTTAGGTTGTGCTAATGGATTTAGTTTCTACTAATGGTGCTAGCTGTTGCTAATAGTGTTAGCTCTAAAAATAAATTCAACAACAAAATGTAGTAGAACTTCAGTAACCTAAGCTAACCTTAGCGACCCTTAACCTTTTTCCTCAGTTTGTCATACTACAATGACCTGAAGTATTTTATTTACATTTTGCAAACAAACTGCGGAGATGTGCCAGTCAGAGGAAAACTCAGCGTTACCGTTGCTTGTTGAAGGGACTGCCAAAGGTGATGTTGTCCTCCACCGTGGCGTTAAGCAGCCAGGACTTCTGGGCAGCGTAGGCTACAGAGTTCCTGTTCTTGCTGGAGGCATTATGGGAAATGGAGGCAAAGAGACATTAAATGAGAACCAAATGTTCTGCCTCCATGAAGCTTCAGAGAGAAGGAATGCTGATGGCGAGAGGACGACGACGTTTGGAAAACGGTCAAACTCCACAACACAAAAAACAATTCACCAGAAATGAGGGATAAAGGCGGAGGATGGAAAGGGTTAAAGATGACCTGCGGGAAAAAAATTAAACCAGGATCGGATAAAGCAACTCATAAAAATAAACCACCGTAGCGCCTTGCTGGGAGTCTCGACTAAACGCTGCTGAAGGAACAAGAACTCAAGAAGCTCAGTAGTTTATTCTGAAACATCATTTGATGCCAGATCGTAAATCGTTCAAATATAAATCTGCAACATTCTGGGGTTAGAATAAACTTATCTTGAATTATCGCAGCTTTTACAGGTATGGAAAATGGAAAAAATCAAAACAATCCGGGAACAACAAAAAGATCATAATCTCATTTACATCAGCCATGTTGGGTCCAAGTTAATCCAACTCCAATCCGTTTGTCTTGAAAGTTCGGCTCAGTGAAGAAGGTTTGATAAATTGGACAAAAAAAAAAAAACTCTGATCCGCCTACAAACTTTTGGGTTCGGCTGAAGTGAACTCTGGTTTGGTTTGAATCTATATCTGAACGCCAAGCGGACCAGAGACCGCTCCAAAAGCAGGAAGTGGACTACAGCGCAGGGCATTCTGGGTAAAAACAACCACAGCTAATGTGTTAGCCTAGCGCTAGCAGCAGAAATGGCTCCTGGTCTTTAGCATAAAGAGAAATCCTCCAACCGCTAAAATCTGACGCCTCCATCTTGTTTCCATCTGGTGAAGAAGGAAGTTGCTCTCAGTGTCTTCAGAGGTTTCTGTGTCATTTCCTTCAGTGGTTCTTGGTGCAGCGCCCCCACAGGCCAGGAGGGGAACAGGTTGGTTTGACTCAGAGCCACAGCAGCTGGAGGGGGAACAAGCTGGATCCAAGTGAGTTTACCAAACTATCGGGTGTGAAAACACCCTTAGAAGAACATTATCAAACTTTTTTCGAATATTATATATAAAATTTTCCATACCATCTGTACTTTTTCTGATTTTAAGTTGCAGGATCATCTCTGTTGAAGCATAAAAACAGCTACATATGTCAGATATTAGCGTTTTGTTCAGCAGAGCGACGACTCCCAGCATTAACAAAACAAACCACTCCAGGATCAGATGGCACAAACTGACGGCATTCTCATGGGAAACCAGCAGCAGATTCACTAGATAAAGCTCTGCAGACGGCGGTTTCTCCTAAACACACGAACAACGACAGCAACTCAGCAGCAGAATCTGCTGGTAGAAAGGCTGTTCATATTTTTACAGCACAGGGGAAAATGTGAACAGTCTAAAACCAGTTTTTCCTGCAACTTTTAGATGTCCTGAATCAAAAAGGGAAGATTTTATCCTCAGCATAAAGTTCTTCGAAGAGATTCAGACACAAAGAAGAAGTGAAACATCTAAAAGCTGTAGAATGCTAACTGAACTTTAGCTACATGTTTCACCTTTTATAAAGATTCACAAATGCAAAATAAAAATAAACATGGACAGTATTTTAGTACACTTGATAAAAAATGAAAGTAGTTTTGCACATGCATAGGTGTTCATGACCAAGTTCAAACCAGCATCCTCTTTTTTAAGAGGCACAAAAATGAACAAGGTTAGAGCGGATGAAGGGAGGAGCAGGAGAGGCGAACGACGGGTCAAACGGGTCACGATCAGAAGAGCTTGTACCTCCCCACGTCCTCCTCAGAGTCCTCTGTCTCTGACCAACTGTCAAAATCAGTATCTTAGTCAGAATTCACCCACGACTCAATTATCCGCCATTGAAAACGTGCAAAAACAGACAAAGCAGCGAACAGAGAGAGAAATGCATGGACCTCAACATAAAACGAAAAGCTAGCATGTCAAACTGCAGACGGTGATTATGTGTTATTAGATGGCCAGCTGATTATCACATTAACCTTCCCACCCAGGAAAGAAGAGCAAGTGATGCTGTCACTGCCTGTCTGCCTGTGATAATTAGGTTTTGTGGCTTCTTCGACAATGATGTCTCATATTTATGGGCTTCAGGGATTTAAAGCAGCTTTTATTTACTTTAGTTGTGAAGTTTGGAAGCTGGGTAAAGTATTTTAAGGGTGACTGTTAACAGTCATAACATGCTTCATAAAATAGATGAGCACTTTGCTTGTATTTTACGTATTTGTGCATGCTTTTACTTGCTGCGACTTAAATTAAAATACTCCCCATAACATAAGCTGTCAAAAGAACAGTTAAAGAAACTGAGGATAATTTTAGACCCTCTTATAGAGAGAGGTAACCTAGCAGAAACCTTGCTCACTGTTTCAGGATGAACACACCACGGACAGAAATAAAGTACCTGATATTCCCTTCGTGGGCCATCTCACAATCAGGCAGCCTGATTGGCATGAAGGCAGGAAATAAAGTGAAACCAAAGACACGAAAACAGACAAAAACACAACCAAACATCTGCAGAAACGTTAGTGTGCAGCTCTGGAGCATCAAGATGTTCGTTAGAAACTAGGATAGGAGAACGTTTGAAAATCACTTGGACTTCTCAGACAGACCTTAAAGTTTAAACCTGTAACTATGATTAAATTAAATTCCACTTATACGAGTCTACAGGGACAGCACATCACATTCCCTAAAACCTCCACTTTCCTTATTCTATCTATTTCTGTGTTGCTTTTTAATATTTTCTGTCTGCATTCCTTCATAACAATAAGGCCTGCTAACATTAACTTTTAGCTCCAAAGCTACTTGTTTACCTGAAGCAATTAGCAACAAAACACAAACTGCCACATAAAGGTGCAACAAAAAGTGTTGCCCTAATTTATGCCTAATGTACCAATTTGAGAATTACTAAGCTATTTATTCTGTCAAAAAGGCATAACGGTGGATTCCTGTGTTTTTAAGACAAGAGCACAACAGTAACCACACTTTCTGTTAGCAGAGTTAGCATTAGCAGCTAGCCATAAAATGTCCTAAAACCTTTGAAGTTTACTTTTTTCTTCCAGCTCTGTGAAAACAATTTAATTTCTCAAATCAGTTTTACATTTTTTTTAAGTTTTCCACTTTTTGTTTTTATAAACAAAAGAAAAACATTATTGACATTATCAAGAATAACATTCACAAGCAATTTTCCACTTCAACTTTACATATATTGTGGAAATATATGTTCATACTTCACTTTTTATACTTAAAAATGTAGCAAAATGAGTCAAAAATTATAACTAAAGAATGTGTTTCATAGTTAGCATCACTGGCTAGCTCACTAAAGCTGTCCTATGGACAGAGGAGAAATGCAGCTTTTACTTCCCACTCTAACACAACTGAACCTTTATGCGAACTTCCCATGGATGACATTTGAAAAGCAGTGACAGGTGCATCAACACAGCAAATGGAGCCACATTTTGGGGGGAAAGCTAGCATTGGTAGCTAGCCTTGGTTAGCCACCAAAAACTGACTTAAAAACAGGAAACTGTGAAGTGAATTTCAGCTCCAGTTCTTTAAAAGCCACAAATTCCACAAATTAATAATAAAAAAATAAAAGTTGTTTCTGTTTTTGTTCATTTAAAAATTACTTTAGCAAAATAATGACCAAACAATAAGTAGCTTTATTCTAATCTTGCATCTGTTAGATGTTGCAAACAAACATTTTCATTTAGGAAAAGTGCTTAGAGGTGTAAATAAAATATTTTTTTTACATTCCTGCTTCTGTATGTAAAGCACAAAACATAACAGGAGATATAACTAGCAAAGTTAGCATTAGTGGAGAGCTAGAGAGCTAGCCAAAAAACAAACGGTGAAGAGCAGCTTTTTTATAACTGAACATTTACTTGTTGGGCTTAATGTGGCTTTTTAAATACAGTGTTTGCAGCAATGCCATATTCTCTACCTTAGATATTCTCCAAATGTTATTCCACTGACTTACTTGCTCCAGAAAACTCTTCCATCGATTGCTTGCATCTCACCCAGCATGGCCAGCAGCAGGGAGGATTTCCCACATCCCACCTGACCCACGATCATCGTTAACTGACCTGGGATGGAAACAAATAAAATATGAGGTGAATGTTTTCATCTACTGAGCAAATTAATGACAGTTACATTAAAAGAGCAATATTGTTCTGCTTCCTGTGAGTACTGTAAGTACTGGTGAGTACTGGTCACTGATTTTGTTGCAAACATCCTGGAAATGTTCCACCTCCAGTGACTTCGTTCATTACCAGTGCTAAACTTAAACATGTGCAGAACATGTCTAAACTTAGCCGTCTTTCTGAGTCAACCTTGCAGATTTGATTTCTGAAGTAGAAACCTTTAAGATGTCCAGTTACTTCCTCTTCAGCACTTTGGCAGAGAAGAAAAGCGCTGGAGCCGCTGTTTGCTTAGTAGTAGCATGACTGGGATTGCAGGGAAGTCACATCCCAGAGGACAACTGGAGTGAGTGAAACTCTGCATCTGTCCGGCCCGACCCGGCTTCCTGACACTCGATCTGCACGGGCGGCCCGACTCTGGTTCAGGCCTGACTGCTGAGCTCAGATTTAAGCAGCATGCTAACATCAACTCTGAACCATTTACCAATCATCTGATGCTTCAGCTAATCCAAAACTAATAGTTTACAGAAGCTTTTGACTCCAGAACAGAAAGGTATTTTATGTCCTCAAATAAGCCAGCTTGCTAACTTCAAAAAAACGGTTCTAAAAAGTTTAATTTTCTCATAAAATATAACTGAAAAAGCTTGTTTTTATTTAAATACCATACTGTTTAAATAAAATTTACAAAAATACTCATGCAGATGGACAGTTTGAGAAATTCATCAACAAAATCTGGTGTGGAGTCAAGGAACTGGCCTTTAGGAACTTAAAGAAAATTTATGTTTTTCAGGATAATTTTATGATGTAGTGCCAATTAATAACTAGAGAAAATGGTCAATCTAAGTGCTTTTTGCACCAGTTTAAACAATGTTGCATTTGAAAACTGCCAGTCAAACCTAAAGTACATTATTCCCCAGAAAATGTCTCAATCGCATTTATAAAACCTTAATGTTTTCCCTTCATTTGACTCTTGACTCAATTGATTCGGTTGTTGCAACACATTTTATTTTTATTTTACTTTTTTATTCCATTCACTCAAGAAATATGAATAGTTCATGAAATAACTAAAATAAATATATGAAAAGGAGCAGAAAGAAGTGTTGTGACTTTTTTTACAATTATATGTTGTTCAGTATATTTTGCATGATAAGTGACTGATTTACAATTATATGTTATGCAAAATTTACATGATGATTATTATTAATTGTATTGAACATGATTGTATATGAAGTGGAATATATTTAAGTGTGAGACATGATTTATTTGAATAGAGGAAGTCTTTTATTTTGAAGAATGCTTAACAGGATCTGGTTCTGTTTTGTCACTGTCTTGCTTTTGTTGATTTTTGGTTGCTAGGTTACGAATTACGAACAGCTGTTGCCATTTTTCTCTTCAATAAAAACTGAACAGAAAAGTAACATTTTGGTGCCGAAACCCGGGAAATAAGGACTTTTTTTTATTTTTCTGAACGAAGTGAACTTTGCAAGTTTACTTTGCATAAACTTGCAAAGTATCCAGGTCGGGTTATTCCTGTCACATCAAATTTAGCTGGATGATAAAATTGTTGTTTTGAGACCATTTTCAACTAATATAAAGGCATTAAACTATAAATTCTAATGAACATTTAACGCTGGAACTGGAAGATATTTTAAACATCCAAAATAAATAAACAAAAAACAGATGAAATTAAATTGCTAATTGTGACAGGCCAAACCATCACCCCTCCACCGCCGTGCTCAACAGTTCTGCATTGACATTATTTTGTGTTGTGGAGAACCCAAACACAGAGACAACCATGAGTGCTTGATAAACATTTATTTTTAAGGCAGAAAGGGAGGCTGACCTGTGGGGATGCGTATGCTGATGTCTGACAGGGTCAGCTGGTTGCTTCCCCAGGTGAAGGAGCCGCTGCTCACCTGGGCGGAAACAGAGAGGAAGCAAACTGTGACTGCATCGTTTTGGAGACATTTCGTAGCAACAGCAGATGTCTCAGCCTGACTACGTGCCGTTTCACTGTTACGCACTGACCTACAAGAGCACAGCACATGACCCGACCCGAGTTTAAGAAGTCCTGTGAGCGAGTTCACAGGAGTGGACAGTGGTTAGATAACAGCTTCACACAAGGAACGACACGTACTGCGTTCACAACACGGGGGAAACCAAACAGCTGTCAGCAAGTCTGGTTCTGCAAAAATACCAGAAAATCTGCAGAAATAAAGTTCACCGACTTTCATCAGAGTTACATGCTACAAAAACAATGAGCTGGAAATTTTGAGGTAACGATAATAAAGAAAACTAGAAATGTTTATTCATTTAAAAGACAGGTTAAAAACATTGATTTAATGTCCATCTTGATCTTTAAATTTTCCTTCTAACAGATTTTCACTGTTTTTCTTTTGGACTTTGGCTGTTTTTTCCACTCATTTTCAGTCCAGTAGCTACAGTACAGCTTAAATAACAATGACAACAAATAAAAACAAATACAGTATTTCACCTTCTTAAACCCTCCCACATTCCTGTGCTGAAAAAGTGCTGAAATTGGCTTGAGTAAAACATAAAAAGCAGTAAAAGTGAAGTTCCTACATGCTTGAGGTTGCATTATGTTTCCTTTATTTACCAATATTAGCCAGTAAAAGTATTTTAACACATAATAAGTGTAATAAAAGGATGAGTTGGCATGTTTAACAGACCATAATCATTAAGCAGCAGGAGGATTTTTTGTGATTGATGTCTGCATAGTATTTATTTCTATAATGGATAACAAACAATTATGATAATAACTGAAGTGTGAGATGATCTTTAAACTGAACCAATTATACAAAATTCCCATTTTTTGTACATTTTATGCTGCTCTTTATGTCTCTACTGCTTCCAAAAAAGGAAAACCACCCAGAACATTTATTGGCAATAAATTAATGATTTTTCATGTTGGAGAATTAGCCATTTCAAAAACCTCCCATTTGTTAAGTCACTGGACCGTTACCTAGCAACCCAGCCCCGTTACCTAGCAACCCAGCCCCGTTACCTAGCAACCCCAGGAGAGTTCCAGAACATTTGGTCAGACTCTATAAGCTTGTTAAAGGAAGTGTAAGACTGCAGCAACAGCAGCAGAGAAATCTAATCACTGAAACCTTCTTCCTGCTCAAACTGTTTACATTCCTCCCATCTGTTGCTTTTACATGTTTATTTTTATGTTTATTTTATCTAACAAGAACCCCCCCAGGTTTTTTATTCCACAGTTCCCCTCGCCACATGTTACTGGTCCCAACAGGAATCTAGAGAAAGCAGCATCTTTTGTTTCTGTTAGGGAAAATACTCACGATAAGCTGCTTGGAGTTTGTTTTTGTTTGATTTGGGGAAAGATTTAAATAATAGACGGAGAGAGACGCCAAATATATTAGGTCACATTTGATGCACATGGAGAAAGTGCACGGATAGATGCTTTGTGCCCAGATTGCAGAACTGATTTTGGTTATTTTTTCAGATTTTTATAAATTTTGTGACAATAAAAACATAAAAAACCAGAACACCCACAGATAATGAACAATAACAAACATAGTGGACATCACAGACTGGTGTCAGAGCTCCCGTGGGAAAAATTAAGAAAAACAGGAAAATGAGGAGAACACATGTAACAAAGGGCGACTGAAGTCAGAAAATGAGTTCAGGGTTTGACCAGGATTCAATCTAATTACACCAGCAATGAAATAATCCAGTACAAGCTGGAAAACATTCTCCTTAATAATTAGAAAAAACTTCAATTAAAAAAAGCCAATAAAACCCTTCATATTTCTGCTAATGTTCATGTCTAAATTCAAAATGTTAAAAACTCATTACCAGTCAATGGCAGCTGGAACAAACAGCTGTTTGTCTTCTACAGAAAAACAAAACTGCATCCATGAACAACAAATTAGTTTTCTGCAAAGTTGCTCCAACGTTGCTGCAACTAACAATTATTTCAATACTTAGTATTTATTATTCTGACTATTAACCGGATAAAAAATGTCTCATTCTTCAGATTTTTCAACCACATAAGCCTTTTTTATACAATATAATTAAAAGATACAAATAACTGAATCCAATTTCAAAATCAGAAAATAAACATTTTATTGCCTAAAATGTAAAAATACAGCATTCCAGGTGAAACTAAAACTGCCAAGTGAAAAGTTTTGGCTAAAACGTATTTATAGACAAAGATTTTTAACTTAAATTAAAATGTATATCACCACTTTTTTCCAGTCTGTATACTCTAGATGAACCAATTACTAAATTAGTTGACGATTATTTCAATAACCGATTAATCACGATTAATCGTTTCAGGCCTGAAAAGTGAAATTATTTTTCTTTTGTCCATGAAACCCGAGTCCTGATGCTGACTGAGCGTCTAACCGAGCAGCAGATTCTGCTTTAATCAGCCGACGGTCGTCTGGACCGGAGCGTCACTCCGCAGGGATGGGACAGGAAGAGCAGCGTTTACAAAGCGGCTGAGAAAAATCTGGACACTTTCACAAGACCCTGCAAGGGGCAAATAATTCTCGTGTGAATTCTGCATTTCCTGTGCAAGACGACGCACAAACTCAACACACGCAGAGTCACGTGTTTACACACTTTTTACATTTTAAAATTTTACATGTTGGAGCATAGCTGCAAAAAATGCTAAAAATGTTGCCTGTTTTTTTGTTTTCTTTATTTAACAATTTGAAAAAGTTACCAATCAAACTGTTTTCTGCTCTTTGTGTGTCTACTTGTTTTGCTTTTTATTTTATTTTGTAATTATTTTTTATTTAGTCACGTTACCAATCAGTTTTTAGCCAAGTTACAAAACTGCTTTTCTGTTCTTTTGGTTATTTATTTATTTGGTAGGAGGTTTTTTATTCTTACACATTTTCAGTCAAGTTACCAATCAAGGCAGTTTTGTCACTGTAGGTAATTTAATTCTGGCCATGAGAGTCATCAGACTTAAGAGGTTTAAAGTAAAAACAAAGTATTTCTAACTGGGTCCAGAGGTGGAAACTCATCAGAAAGTCCTCTGATCTTTCAAACTGCTTTCCTCCTTTACTGATCATCATTTCTAGTCTTGAAAACTGAACAAAGAGTTTAGGCTTTGTTTGCTGTATTAGCTTTAACCCTTTCAGAGCTGCTGAACTTTGACCCTCACCTTTACGGCCACATCCTCCGTCTCGATGGGCCTCATCGCCCGCCGGCTCGGCTGCTCGTAGTTGTCCATCTGGTAGCGCATCGGCTGCTTCCTGTTGATGGCTTTGGTCTTTGAAAGATGTTAAACATTCACCATGAAACAAAGTCTTTACCATTAATGCATAAACAGAAAAAATAAGAAGACGTGCAAAAAATAAAATCATTTTGCGACAAGATAAACAATTTTTTACTGAATTTTGATGATAAAAACAAAACTCAACTGGAGGGAAAGCTCTAATTTCCAACTATAAATCAGATCCTGAAAGCCACACTTGCTAGTTTTTCTGAATAATCTGTTAAGAGTAGCGCTCACCATCCCCAGGTGTTTCTTCCCTACGTCCAGGGAAACTGATATATCTCCATTTCTCCAGCTGTCGTCCCCGATTTCATCGCTCTGGAGAAACTCACCAAGCTTCTGCACACTTTAGGCAAACACACACACACACACACACACACCGGTCTATGAGAAGTGTGAACGGTAAGAGTTTAATACCAGCAATCTCTCAGGAGTTTAGAGTTTCTGTTCTCTGATGTCAGCTTTTCCATTCAGCAGATGCAGCAGCTGAAACATCTCCATGTTTGGTAACGTCCAGAACAACCAGATCTGCTGTCCTCACCAGTAAAACACCCACCTGACCAGAGCCTTCACCGCAAATCTGACCACAGTGGAGAGCAGGAAGAGCGGCGTGACCAGGATGTGGAAAAGCGCCAGCGCTGCGAAGGCTTGAGAAGGACTGGGAATGCTGCTGGTGAGGAAGTGATGAACCCCAAACGTCTGGACAAGAACAAATTCAGATTTCACCTCTGACAGTTCATGGTACGTAAGCTGCTGTAGAAATCAAGATATGAAATAATTAAACTTACAGCAAGAACGGCAGCAATGGGAATCGCAGCGTTCATGAAAACTGCAAGCAGATCAAACAGGACATCATCCACAACCTGAGGAATCTGTGGCATCCTCTGCCTGGATGCTTCACCAATCAATCGGTGGAGTTCATTTAAACTGGATGGATTTCTGGGACAAACCCGACTACTGGGAATATAACACATTTTCTCAAGGATTGAGGGAAGACCGTTTCTTATGATGAACCAAGCCCTATTTTTGGTTTGTTTTATCCACTCCAGCACCAGATTATGTGTCTAAAGTGGAGTCAAGATGAGGCTTTCAGGTCAAAGAACGCCGTCCCAACTGGACCCACAGTGGAGCAAAGGCGGACGGCTACTTGGCTTGCATTCCCACCAGCCGTGTTTTAACACAACTCCACTCCGTTTGCCTAGAAAATCCGGTTGGGTTGTGAGGTGTCTGGACGCCTACAAAGCTCGGTCTGATTCGGTTAAAGTGTTTCAGGTAGTCTGGTAGATCACTACAGGGTGGGAAAACAGCCTGTACCTCAAGTGAAATGCTGGACGGTTAAAACCTGGCACAAAGATACGTTTTCTTATGGGGATAATGAGTTTTAACCGTTCATTAAGGTTTTAATCGCCCTCCGTTCCTCTGGCAGTAAAACCATCCCTCCGTATTGGGAAAGCTTCACCTTGACTTCTCCAAACAAATTTCTCATCACTGAACAGATCAATCTTTGGAAAACAACTTGGTAAATTTTAATTAGCTACAGAGAAAGGGATGTCAGGGCTTAACAGTTACTGACTATTTTTCTTTAAAGCTTTTAGGAACAAGGGGTTGGATCTCTAAGGTCTGGGTGTTTCTTAAGTAAAATCTTCTTATTGGAAATCTTTCTTTTGTCGTGAACTTCTGCAGTTTCCTGTAAGAAGGCCATCCTCCATTCTTTCTTATTAATCTTTATAGGGGATGAAATCCAACTTTCTGTAAAAGAAGCTAATGTTTGTAGAAAACCTTCATTAGACCCATCTAACGACTACCAAACAATGCCTGAGCTTTTGTTTGCCGTCTTACTGGACATGGAGGTGTAGAAAGCAAACGTCCTGAGGCTGGTCAGCTCTTTGCCTCTGGTTTGCTCCACGCTGTCGCAGAAGATGTCCTCCCAGGCGTAGAGCTTCAGCAGCTTTATGCCCTTCAGGATCTCTGTCGTCTGTTTCAGACGGTCTGTGGAGTGTTCCTGCAGGACCGGGTCGAGACACGGCCACAGTTTAATACCCATTTCTTATAACGAGACTGTTTCAGTGTCCAGAGTTTCAGGAAGTGATCGGTCATGGAGCTGTTTTAGAAATGCGGACTGCTGACGCCAACATTAGCATTAGTTACATGTTTAGCATTGAGATGCTATTTTAGGCTTTAATGGCTGAGCTGAAAGGCTTTTCTAGCGACCAATCACAATAAAGTCTGTTTGATTTCAAATCAGTCGTTTGAACAAGACAAAAGAAATGGATTTCCATACTTATTTCAGTTTGTGGTTCTGATGTGACAAATGTAAAAAGCTTAGAGGTTTGAATACTTTTGCACAAAAACTGAACAAATATTCAAGCCTACTGCTTACCAGGGCGCTCTTCTGAGTTTCTGCCAGCTTTGTGGCGATGAGGTACTGAACCGGCGCCAGCAGAACTATAACCGACGCTCCAACTAAGGCGCTCCAGCTCAGGAAGTTGTAGAGCAGAATCACTCCCATCACAATCTGAAGCGAAGAACAGCACAGACTGAACCAGATCCACATTTACAGCTCAGGTTGACGACGTTTGTCAGGAAAGCAGCCGTGATTCACCTGAACAGGCATGGCCCAGAGGTTGGGGCAGAGGAAGAGGAACCACATCAGCTGGTTGGTTTCTATGGCGACCAGGTTGTTTATCTGCCCCAGAGTCATCTCGCCCATCGACATGTTGGAGGTGGACAGTCGCAGGATTTTGTTGTAGATCATCGCCTTGGTAACGAAACATAAAAACAGACCTGAGGATCACCAGGTGATGGCGAAACATTTCTGCAAGCAGCTAGCAGTGAGACGGAGATCCAAACTTCCTCGTGTTTTCTCTAAGCCTCCTGAAAGTATTTACACTTTTACAATCTTAAGAAAAATCCTCTGGAATATTTAAAGGTTTTAACATCCGGTCACAGGAAAGGTAAACAATGGCAGCAAATAATCTGCTGTGTGTTTTGTGGCCAACAAAGGTGCAGAGTCTGGTCCCTTATGATTTGTTGGTCTACTCCCCCTAGTGGTCTGGAGGACTTACATTTTGTAGAGGAAGTTTGCACCGTTTCATATTTTATTTTTAAATAAAGGTGCAGCATTTTGTTTATTGATCGCAGCATTTTTTTCTGTGATTGCAGCGATTTTTGGTTGCATTTGTTTCTTTGTGTGTTTTGGAGTTTGCATCATTCATGTGTTGCTGAACTACACTCCACTTTATCCTAAAGAAGTCTTGTATTGTTAAAAACTGGGTTTTCTAGCTGAACTGTCACATTTTCCTGTTTCCTGATGCGTCCCTCACCAGCAGAGCGCCCCTCAGGTTGATGCCCGTCTCGATGGTGACGTAGTAGGACGCCTGCAGGAAGGTTCTCTGCAGGACCAGCGCCAGGAAGAGGAGGATGGCCAAGACGTAGCTGTTCTCCAGGAGCTCGGTGGTGTCCATGAAGTACACACGGAAATGGTCATCCTGCAAACACAAACAAGTAAATTTACCAGGCGATGCTTGATTCAAAAATGTTTTGTTTTGAAGATTTAATTTTGTTTTTTTCACCCATATTTCAAAGTGATGTCAGGGCGGCCATCTTGTTTGACGAGATGACAATAATATGAGAATAAAATAGTAATTTTATAAGAACTGCTACGTGAAAAATAAAAAAATTAAAACGAGTTGAGCATCTTGGGAAGTTATATGTTAGCATCGGTTTTACAAGGAAGGAAAATATAATCTTTAACAGAATCTAATTATTATCAGCAGCAGGGCGTTGAAACGATTACGAGAATATTGAATAAAGATCCACACAGCCTGAGCTGCTCATATCTGATAAACGTATTCAAGCTTCTTGTCATTTTAAGCTGATATTTAATTTTTAATAATTGTAGTCCCGTCATAACACACCTCACAGAAAGGATGATGAAAGCGAAACTGCAAAAACACAAAATATTTGTCTATATTTTTATTCTAGTTTCTAGTGCAAACAGCTTAGTAAACTTAAAATATATATAAACAAATCAATTTTAAGATATAGAAGGTTTAAGTAAAACATTAATTATTGGCAGATTATTTCACTTCGTCTGGTTATAAGTGAAATAATCAACGTTTTCAACATTAAGGATTTTTTACCTCCAATATCTTAATGAAAAGTTTCTTGTTAGTCAGTTTTATCTTATTTTAAGTCTACTAAGATATTTGCACTGGAAACTAGATGTTAGTTTCAGATTTTATTTCTAAGCCCTGTTGATTTCTTTATTCGTCTTTCAGCTAAAGTTGCGTTAATATTTCAGATCAAATTTTCATCCCAAAGACAACTTGAGCATTTTTTTATATTTCAAAGACAAATGAGAGAGTTGAGAGAGATGCTGAGCTCTGCTCTCTGTCTCTGCTGCCCAGCTGGACCCACTAAAACACACTTGACAGCATCTCCAGTAAACTCAGACCAGACAAACCAACCGCAGGAAAACTTCCTGACTGCACAGAAGCGTCTGCGCTGCTTCTCCGACTTTCTGAGGCTGGCATGAACTAACGAGGTGCTAACGTCTGCTTTCCGTCTGCTTTCCGTCTGCTTTCCGTCTGTCTGCTTTGCCTCGTTTACGCTACAAAAGTTTTAAAAAGTCTTGAAAAATGAAGCAAACAATCTTCAGCGTCCAAATATGGCTTCAGGTTTCGGACAGCTGACCCGATAACGACCTCGTTCCAGTTCCTGGCATCGGCCTTTGGATTTTTTAAATAAAATCTCCTGGTATTTCAGAGTTCATGATGCCATGAACTCTAAACAAGTGGAAAGTAGAGAAACAGACCCAAATCCTTTCATTAGAAAACTTCAAATGCATAAAATCGTTTCTTCATTTGAAAATGCAAAAATATAAATAAAATTGTTGTTTCCATATTAAACCAGAAAAAGAGTTACTAAAACTTGACAAGTTATATTTATTCACATGTTTGTGCACTGAATGACATGTTCTCCTGTCTTTCCCATTTTGAAGGGAGTGTAAAAGAAATGGGTCTCAGTTTTATACCATCAGGAAACAGGAAGTTTGGGATTTCAAAGTAAAAGTTTGATTTAAGACACAATGATCAACTTTAAACATAAAATCAACTAAAAACTGCTCTGAAAAAGAAACTTGATTTTTCCAGTTAAATTACTAAACGATGCTGCTATCTTGATCTCAACAAGGTTTTTTTATTTTTAATCTCAAATTAATGGTTGGATTTTTGTAATTTTTTAGTGTGAGATAATGAAGCTGCAATAAAATCTTTTTACATGAGGAACAGAAAAAACAGAGGCTTAAAATATCAATTAGAAAGATGTTTGCAGTTCTTCAACACTGAAACTAAATCACAGTGCAGCATCAGGCCTGACATGATCAGCAATTTATCTGCTATGAATATATGATAATATTCAGATAATTTTCAAGTTATTTAATTGTAATGACGCAATAAAACAAGAGTAATAAATTTTAAATTCTATTGGATATATAAACACTGGAACTGGACGATATTAAAATATCCAAACTAAATAAAAAGAATTATGAAGTCTGTAAAGTTAGACTGAAGATTTTATAGAAAAAGAGAAGAACGATAAATCATGCAGATGGAAATGATTGAGTTGTTTTTAATTCATTGTGCGTTTAATTGATTTACTGCCTAATGACGAAGAGCTGCTGGTTCTCATTTTGATCCAGCAGGAGGAAAGTCGCGCTCACCGTGTTCTTGTTCGCCGACGTGTTGTTGTTGTTGTCACCCAGGTTGCGAACGATGCCGTAGATGCAGAGCGGCCCGGCGAAGCCCAGCAGGTCGGCCAGGTACCGGAAGGTGCTGCTGAGCAGGATCGGCCGGCCGAAGGCTCTGTACATGGAGCGCCAGATGGACGGCGCTCGATCCGGGTCTTCGCCTGTCTGTGTTGAGGAGAAACGGGCGAATAAAAGCGGAGCAACAACCGGACCCGGTCGGACCGTCGCTCGGCTCACCCTCTGATCCTCGTAGGCGTCTTTCAGCCTCAGGTAGTTGGTCAGCGCTCTCATAGCGATGGGCAGCTTCCCGATCTTCTTCAGCTCTATCGGCCTCTTGTGGGCGCTGATAATGAGAGGGTTCATCCACCAATACGTCGCCTAGACAGCAGAAACGGAACAAGAACAAACTCCGTTTTCTAGGATTTACATCCAGATTCAAATAGATTTGACAAAATATTCCTTTATTCTTAACTCTCATGTGAAACGTAATTATTACTCCTCAAAAACAAAAGTATTTTTGCCTGATTTCTAGTATAAATATCTCTGTACACTATAAATAAAATAAAACTAACTTACATGTAACTTTTCTTCAACATTTAGAGGCTTTTTCTAAACCTCCCACTATGCAAAATTCACATTTTGCACATTTTTGTTTTTCCATCTGGATCTCAAAAGTAGGCCTGTCATGATAACTAATTTTGTTAGTTGATAAATTGTATCAGAAGTTATCCCAATAACCGAAAATATAGTTGCTTTGAGACAATTTTCAAATGATTTAAGGGAATAATAACGCAAGAACACATCCTCAAAGCTCAACAAACTTTAAATTCTAATGAACATGTAACATGGAACTGGAAGACATTTTAAATATCCAAAATAAATAAACAAAACAACAAATAAAATGAATTATGGAGTCTCTGGAAACAAAATTATCCTTCAGAAAAAGGGTTGAATTAAACTCTTAAAACAAAAAACGCTCATCCATTTTTTGGTAGTAAGGAAATGTCTTTTGGTGTCTAGAAAGCGAGGCATTTCAAAAGCTAATTTTGAATTAAAGCTTAAAACTTTAATTCAAAATTAAATTCAAAAGTGCTTTTCTGGTTCTAAAGGGAAATTAAATGTCACATTTGCCGTTACCTAGCAACCTCAACGGAGTTCCAGCCCGTTACCTAGCAACCCCAGCAGAATTCCGCCCCATTACCTAGCAACCCCAGCTGAACTTCTGTAAGTTTGGTCAGCTGGTATTACCGGGGCATGTGGTGTACAATGGCTGCTGAAAAAGACCAGTGTTTTGTTGTTTATTTGCTATCCAGAAACAATTTACTGCATTCTTGTTGGTTGCGCAGGAGGGTCCTCTTCTGCTTTTCAAAGATGTATGGTTGTATAATTGCACAAAATGTCATGTTTTAACTGAAATAATCTGCCAGGAAGGTAGTATTTAATATTCAAGAAATTTTAACTTAAAACAAGCTCTTCTATCTTCATGAAAAGTTACTTGTAAGCTAGTTTTGTCTTCTTTCAAGAAACTAGACAAAAAAACTTGGTAAGATTTTGTGTTTTTTCAGTGCAGTTAATTATAAGAAGCACCTTAGAGAGCAGGTTGACGAACGGCTGCAGGAAGCGGACGCCCAAGTCCTGTAAATCCTCCGGCGGCTTCACCTTCTGGGGGTTGGTGAAGAAAACATATTTCTATAAAAAGAAAAGAACAAAATTAGGGAGGTAAAGCAGATTGTTGAGGTTTTTCCAGAGCAGGAGGGAATGCTGTGGCGAACCCGGACTCGGATGACGTTGATCTCCACGGCCATCAGCAGTCCGTACAGGATCACCAACAGGGCCGTGATGCAGAACCGCAGGTACTGGAACCAGACGCCAAACTCTGCAAACTTCCACAGCTTGATGGACTTGGTTATGAACGCCAACACCCAGTAGATGAAGAGGACTGGGAGCAAAGAGAGACGGTCAGAAGTTTACATACACCCCATCTGGAGTTACATCATCTCCTGGTTCAGGTCTGAAGGTTGGTGGAAGTAGCTAAACTATTTCTATTTGCTAAAAGAAACAATAATGAAAGAAAGAAAATGTCAGATTTATTTATTCATGTCTCTGAG